TGGAAGATGATTTAAAAATACAGTTCTTAAAATAACGTCATTTATGAACTGCCCCTTAGTAAGAATGTTGACACTAGTTTTAGAGCATATCCTTGTTTATATTAATGATTTTATTACTAAAATACTGGCTAAGGGTGCATAGCCAGGAGGGTCCTACCACCTTCCCCTCACTTTAAGAGTTTTGAACCTTAGTAAGGGCAAGCCCCCCACCCCCTGGTTACGCGCATGACTACAAGGCTCAATCTTTATCTAAGTAAACAAAGGACATCCTTGAACTATCATTTTGTCATAAAGATGCAAGCAAGGATGCAAGTCATTGTCATCTCATTATTGCATTTAAATGGATCAATATTCTCTAATTAAACAGCTTAAACAATGACAACACAAGACAAAGAGATGATTAACTGATGTCTCCAATTTATTTCCGTAAATGACAATTTATATGATTTATTGAACAGTCTCGATTAATTTAAAGGTTTGAAGGACTTTGTTTAGATTGGGCAGTGGTGGGTAACCTTTTTTTGTTCCACAAAACACCTTGGTGGTAAGGAATGACCAAAACCGGATCGGATTAATCGATTTATTTCACACTAGTGTGCCGCGGCACATAGGTAGAGTGACCAGATATTTTTTGAAAAAATAGAGGACTTAAAAGTTAAAAAAGAACATTCCAAGTGTCTATTAATTTTATTTGTTTTTTGAACGAATTAGAACAAAACAAAACTATTTTAATTTTTAAAAATTATAAAAATTATGGTTCTCTGGAAAACCAAGCAGATGGTCAGCCTACCTAAAAGTTGGCCATCACTGAGAAAGAGCATTAGTTGATCCTTTTATGAGATAATTTTGATGTTAAAGACGAGGTTTAAATCACTCTCAACCCCCTGCAGAACATGAAATTGTCACTGAGCAATAATTTTAAGTCTTTGTAGCAAGCTCAGTTCAGAAACAGCAATTCCTGGTGATTCATTGGATTATCCATCAACGGCGTGATCAGCAAATAAATGTTAAAATAGCTCAGTTAATTTCCGAAAAATCATGATTGAGGAATGTTTTTCACAAAGTCTGTAATACAATGGAAAACTGTGTGACTAGCTTTCTAATGTAGCATTTAATACATTTTGCTTGACTTATTAAGTTTTCATCTATTTCATAATGTAGATTTTTGACTGTTGCAGACTTTGTAGATAGCAAAGGATCTAGAGTAAGACCAAATATACCTGGATTGAATGTGTTGATAAGGAAACTAGAGTCGTTAATATCCCAAACTGGCAGAAGGTCTCGAAGGTTAGAGCTACCTTTAGACGATCTCTGAACGCAGCAGTTCCCAAGCCAAGGAAATAAGTAAGTAATGTAGATTTAAACTAAAATTAACCAGTTATTGAAATGCGATTGACAAATAACTAGGCGATCCAATTGCATACTTTAGAGCGGTTAGTCTCTTTTTTTGAACAAAGTTCCGCCTAAAATTCATAATGTGGCGCATTTTGAACCTATTTATCTTGGAAAATGCTTTAAAATTCAGTTTGAATTTTCAAAGCTGAAATCGCGAAATGTCCCACTTATTGACCAAAAATCGGCAAAAAACGATGGACAACTTACAAACAACTAAGGTCGGGTCCCTAAATATGGGAGGCTTCTTGGGTCTACACTTGAATTAGCCCCCAAATCAAAAACGATCCCAAAACTCAATAATCATTCAAAATTTAAACAAAAGCTCAATGAACGATAATAAGAACCGCGTTTTTAATTAATTCACACCTAGCAGCACTGCTAACAACCTTGACACATCTCAAAATTTAATATAAAAATTCACTGACCTGCTCAATAATTCCACAAATAAATGATTTTTTTTTCAGGCCACTTTTATTATATTTTTTTTGTCTATAAAAAAAACACTCGAGATCCACTTTCCTTCCTTACTCACGCCTGCCATATGACTGAGAATTGTTTTTTTTTTCTATTTACATTCTCACAATTATTTTTTTATTTTTCACATTTTTCATCTTCAACTTGAACGTCGTCGACTTGATTTAAAACAATAAATCAAATTCAATATGGAAATCGGAATTGACGCAACTTTTAATCAGTCACAAATGTAAATTTTTTGAATATATATTTTTAAAATTGACTTGAGAGTCGATAAAGCGTGCATTTTCTAATTCATAGTCAGCTGACTGAGGTAGCTTCGACCTTTAACTATCGCAATTTTAATTGCTTATTTTTAATTGATCATTTATTGATTGTTTTTGTTTTGTCGCGGACCATGGAGGCATGCGATCTTAATTAAGTGCTGTGAATGTTTTTTTTTGTTAATTGAACTTGAAATTAAGGTGTTGATTGAAAATATTACACTGAAAATATTACACTAGTTTTGATTATGAATTCTAGCTGTAAAACGTACTCATCACGTGCTTTTGTTTATGAAATAAAAAATCATTAATCAAAGCATAAATACATGGTTTGAAGAATTTTGACCACTTGATAAGCCAATAAATCGATAGTAACGGAGCTAATAAAACAAACCCGAGTTTTCTACGATGTCTGGTTAAAAAGTTTTTTTGGAGACGAACGAACGAACGAACGAACAAAGTGAATTATTAAGCTACCTTTTCGAAACAAGTTTCAAAAATGCGCTAAAAAGAACAAAAAATAAAAAAGAACTGTTTCCAGGAATTTCGTTTGTTTTTTATTTCTTGCTAATCCCCCTTCCCCCACCTCTGGACTTCATAAGTAAACGTTCCTCCTTTAAATCACATCACATTTTAAGGCGGTCTTAATATTCGATTCCTTTTTACAACATTGGTCAGCCACTTAGTTGCTTCCTCAACACCATCGTTAGTCAATCCAGATGTAGCAATAGTCATTGTATTTAGTTCCTGATATGAATCTTACAATGCTGGATCTTTGATTTTGATTGGAGCGAAGCTCAGACCAGGTTTAGCGTAGCTCACAAATTTTTATGTCCTAGGGTGTGGTACAATAGATTCTGTTCTAATTTGAATCGCAGTGCCTCCAGCTGAAAGGCTGTGCCCTTCACACATTATTATTGCTTATGTCCTAAACGAAGCGAAGCGAAGCGAAGTCAAAATCCATTATTAATCTTATATTAGGACAATGCAGACTTATACTATAAAGAATAAGGAAGGAAAAATACTGGTTTTTATTTAAACATTTCAATAAAGGGGAAAACAACTTCAACAATAATAAAACTTGTTCGTATTTGTTTAATAAACAAAAAATATTTGGGTGAACATTCAATGAAATCAAATAAATTAAAACAATGAAATCCGAAAGTTATAGAAGACCAGAAATGATTGTTCCAGCCTGAAACCAAATAAAAACATTCAAAGTACACAAGAAGTTCTCACACCAGACTTTGGACGACTGTATTAATGCTAAAAATGAATCATTTTAATTTAATACTTTTTTATGTTTAAGGTACTCTCAGGGATTTGTTACCCAAATCCCCCCCCCCCCCCCTCGCTACGCGCCTGGGTACTCTGCATGATTATCACTTAACCCGTTCTTTACTAGCGTAACATATATGTTACGCCAATTTTTTCGTAAAATTCTCTGCTATAATTGATCTTACATTGAATCTGATTAATGATTTTCATTTATAGCTAGATTAAGTACCTTCCTTAACATTTCATGATGCTTAATTATGTAAAATGGAGAAGATAATTAAACTTTTCTTTTACATGGAAAATTTAGACATTTTGAAACTCAAAATTTTCATATTTTCTGACTCATTTTTGATCAGATCTTGAAAGATTTATAAAGTAAATCATTTATAATTATAGTTAAAAACTCTTTAATAAAAGTAAAGCATAGTTAAATACATTAACTATGTGACGATAATATATGTAACACATATGTAACGCTAGGAAAATACGATATAAATTGCCCGTTACATATGTGTAACGCTAGTTTTTTGCAAATATTTTAGCGTTTCGGATTAAAAATGTAGTTTAATTATTTAAATTAATTTGGCTATGAAGTAAGCCAAATCATTTTGTACATAGCTTCCTTATGATAAGAATAAAGTATTCAGTGGCAAAATTATTAAAAAGAGTGCTTCAAAGAGAATTTTTTGATGATTGAAAAAATTTACATTAAAAAATTAAGAGAAAATTTTAAAGTGATTTTTTTATGGTTTAGACTGATTTCGGGTGTTTCAAAGTGCATTGGTTAATAAAATAAAATGAAAATAACGAGTTGGTGAGGTCCTAATGCTGAGAAAGTTTTCATTAAAAAGATATGACATAAAATAAAAGTGTAAATAGATTAGAGTTTTTTTCGTTTTTCTATACATTAGAGTATTTAAATTAGACTCTAATTATGTTAAATAACATATAATTAATAACAAAGTATTGCATTATGGACATAAGTTTAAAAAAAAGGTAAAATAAAAGAATTAAAATTTTTGGAAGAAAAAAATTTTTGCTTGCAAAATCCTAGCGTAACATATATGTTACGGACAAAATTTGTTAATTCTATTAAATCTATGCATTAATTTGAGCCAAACTCTTCGTCAAACTTATTTTTATACTGCAATTCATCAAATAAATGCACTCTAATGTCCCAAAAAAATTCCGTAATTAACGGGTTAAATGTTCCTCTGAAAATTCCCAAGTCTCAATTTCTTTTATACTTAATTCTTCAGCTGAGGTCATGTCACATCTAAAAAATCCAGCACCAATATTTTCTTGATTAAAATTGTTTATTTAATTTTATTTCAAATTTAAATATGTTGAAATTAAATTTTGTCAAACAAAAAATGTAATTTGAAGGCAAAACATGAATAATTTAAATAAAAATTCTGGGCCTGATTTTTTCGGTACTAGTATAGTAGATTAAGCAGGGGCGTAGCCAAAAATTTGAAAGGGGGGGGGCACAAAAAATTTTCTATGAAAAATTCAGAGGGATTTTTATGATTTTTTCATAAAAACCCTAGCAAAATTTCTGTTAACGTCGGATGATTTGTTACGCCCCCCCCCCCTTTCTGGGTAAGCAAGAGTAAGGCATAGCCAGGTACGGTATAGCTACACTTCTGGTAAGTGGTGCATTTGGGATATTACAGCGGTTTAATTGATATGGTACAGTGAAATACCAATGCCATACTAGTATATTGTACTCTTGGTGTACCTATACTGTACCAGTGTCCTTTTTTGCCGTACTCAAGTTTTCCTGGGTTTTCCAAAGGTTTTGCCAGGTTTTTTGGTGCTTGGTGCTTTCCAGGTTTTTCTGGTTTGTTCCTCGGGTTTCCAGGTTTCTTATTGGTTTTCCTGGGTTTTCTCTAGAGTTTCCCAGATTTTTCTTGATAAACCCCGGGTTTTTCCAATGGGTACGGTATGGTTGTACACTGGTCCAGTATAGGCACACTTAAAGTACAGTATAGTTGCATGGTATTGGTATATCACTGAACTAAATCAATTATACCGCTGTAACATACCAGATGTACCACTCACCCTCTCAGAGCTGTACCTCCATCGTACCGTGCCTTTCATTATCAAACCACATAACTAGCACCAAAGAAATCAAGCCCTGATTTTAAAAACCATAAACCCAATTTGACTAGATCTTAAATTCCTAAATACAAGTCACAAGATAGAATAATTATGAAATGTTTATGACTTATTCAGTAGCATGATGATATTTGATGAAAGCTATAGCTGCAAGTTCCTTACAAAATTCTTCCAATACAATTAATGCTTCAAAAAGTTGCTCCGATTCATCATGTGCTGTCTGATCCTTTTCATCCTTCATTAATGGTGGATTACTTAAAAGTCGCTTTGCTGTTGCATGAATTCTGGCTGAAAAGTTTGAATATCTTGGAATTTCTGATAAAAGTTTCTTCGATAATGCTTGAATCACGGTAAACAGTGTTGCTGCATCTTGTGCGACTGGAATTTCTGTGCTTAATAGAATCTCGTGCAAGAATGGATTTGGTAGTAAGGCTAATTTAGACAGTATAGCAATTGATGCTAAATTTAGCTCATAAGGCTGATTACTCATGTTCCGGATTTGATTAAAAAGCAGGCGAAGCAGTGGACCTTCATAAAATTTCATATCCATTTCCTCAGAAATTCCGCTGTCATTACATTCGCCACTTGCAACAGGTGATTTAGGTCTTTTAACAGGAGATGTTGCTTCTACAGGCCAATTGAACTTCCATGTCTTTTTAATCCACATTTGATAATGTCGACTTGCATCCTGCATGTATTCTTCATAGCACGTTCCAGCACTTTCAGCCATCAATTGACGCGGCAGAAGCAACAAGAAATTATTAATGACTTTAAGAATATTATTTGGTGCCATTGTTCTGGATTTAACAGCACTTTCAGCACTTCCATGTCGCTTTTCACGCATTTCTTCTTCGTCCGACCAGCTCTCAATTTCCCTTGAATCATAATATCCGCGGCTATTGACATACAGAAAGATCATTGAATGCAAAATTCTCTCATTTGGATTTTCCAATAAAGCTTCAACAAGCTGTAAAGTCTGCAACAATACTTCGCTATTATCTTGTGCATTCTCAATGATTATATTAAGCAGGCAATCAGAACCATTGATTTCAGTTCCAACCAGCCAAGTTGCAACTTCCTCAAGCAATTCTTCAGACTTAATTTGCTTAATCACTTTTGCAGTAAGGACAAGTCCAAAAGGTCCATTTAATTCCAATAAATTTGGTTCCAAATTCTTCTCTAAAACTTGCTCGCGGAACAGCATTCCCAATAAATCAGCAATCAAGTAATTTTCCTTGACTAAACAATCAGCATAATCAAGCCAGCATAAAAAAGACGTAAGTTGATAGCGTCCAATGAAATGATGATGATCATCTTTTGGGAATAATCCCCAAGTTACGTTACATTCTTCAATATCACTTAATTCCATGTCATCCGGAATTGACTCAGCACATAAAAACAACTTTTCACCAATAATGTGCGACAATTCAGTAAAGGATGCATTTATAGCATTACAATGATTATCAAGTTCCTTTAATGACACTAAAATTAATATGCCTTCGCATGCTCGTACCACAATTGTACTGTCAGCACTCTCAATATAGCTCATGACAGCATCAAGGAGATTAAAACGATCGCCATCGTCACAATTGCAGTCTTTTGGAAATGAATGATTTTTTGGTGAAGCTGATTTTTCATTACAACTTGATTCTTCTGTCTCGTCATTAATCATAAGCGACACTCGACGTATGTTTGGCTCAAGCTTATTGGATTCAAATAATGTATTATGCTTTGGTGGTTTTGTACTGAATAATCCTTTTGTGGTCGAATCGCTGTGCTGATGTGATGGTATGAAAAGTTTTATTACGTCTGGATTCTTTCCAATTAATCCAGCAACAGCTTCAAGAAATAAAATCTCGTCCATTTCATATGGTGATGCTAGAGCTCCTTTACATACAGTCATTAGTTTTATTATTGGCTTGAAAACACTTCCGTGGGCAATCATTGGATTCTCTAAGCATGTTAAGTACCGCTTTATCCATTTTAATACCCAACGACGACATCCAATTGGCTTCTCATTTATAGCCAAATCAACTAGAAGATCTAATGGCTTACTTTCAAGTAAAAATTCTAGACATTCGGCTGATTTGTTTGACTTTGCTGAATCTTTATTTTGAGTCTCTTCTTGGATTAAAATCTGCAGCATTTGCTCCATATAGTAAGGAATGTTTGTGTTGTCGATGTGCTGATCATTTTGATTTATTTTCATATAAAATGTTTTTATTAATTTCCAATTATATTCAAAGTTTTGAAAAAGTGATGGATTTGGTGCTACAATTTCTTCAAGTGATTCTAAAACACGTCCAAACATTTTGATTTTGGATGCTTTAAATGCTTTTGTTGTCTTTTTTGTCTTTTAGTCTTTAGAATTTTAAATAAAATAACTTTTTTTCTCCTCAAAAATTGAATTTGTTTACGTTTCAAGTGTCTTTTTTAGCACATTTTTCAAGAATTGGTTTTAATAGCGCTACTATGGCTGGGCATTCACGATTTCCCGGTCTCGTGAAATTTTCATATACGGGAAATCTTAAACACACCACAACTTATGGCTAATATAGTTATTTTAAGTATGTTCCTTTGTCTGTTCTCTAGAGCAGTGGTGTCCAACCTTTTTCTATGCCACGGCACACTTTTTTGGTTACCCATGAGCGAAATCACAAACGTTTTACGGTTTTTGGGATTTCCTGAATTTTTCGTGACACACCAGGGTGCCGTGGCACATGGGTTGGCCATCACTGCTTTAAGAAAAGTTTTTTTTCCTTTTTAACTTGTTTTAGCTTTATTCTTAAAACACAGCACTTAATTCCTTACTCACTTCACAGGCCGTACAGATCAATTGTGATCCATGGCCCAAAACACAGCACACAAATGAATAAATGCGCATAAGTCCTGAATTTATGCCTTTTTCTTTACTTTTTGTTTCATTTTCCGAGAGTTTCTTGAAACAGCTGACTACTGTATTTGTAAAATGGAATTGACTTTATGCTTAAAAATAAATTCTAATGATCTGTGGAAAAGGCAAATTTTAAAAAAGCAGCAAATTTTAAAGTTTTAAACTTTTCAAAAACCCAAATTTTTACCTTTTCAAAAACTCGAGCTTTTCACTTTCCAAAAGTTCAAATTTTTATTTTTTTTAAATGTTATAAGTTTTGAAAAAATTCAAAATTTTCAATTTTTGAAAAATTCAAATTTTTAACTTTTTAAATTTTAAATGTTATAAGTTTTGAAAAAAATTCAAAATTTTCAACTTTTTGAAAAATTCAAATTTTTAACTTTTTAAATTTTAAATGTTATAAGTTTTGAAAAAATTCAAAATTTTCAACTTTTTGAAAAATTCAAATTTTTAACTTTTTAAATTTTAAATGTTATAAGTTTTGAAAAAATTCAAAATTTTCAACTTTTTGAAAAATTCAAATTTTTAACTTTTTAAATTTTAAATGTTATAAGTTTTGAAAAAATTCAAAATTTTCAAATTTTTGAAAAATTCAAATTTTTAACTTTTTAAATTTTAAATGTTATAAGTTTTGAAAAACTTCAAAATTTTCAACTTTTTGAAAAATTCAAATTTTTAACTTTTTAAATTTTAAACTTTTCAAAAATTCAAATTTTTATCTTTTTAAAAATTTAAATTTTTATTTTTCAAAAATTAATACTTTTAACTTTTTAAGTTTTTACAAACTCAAATTTTCACCTTTTTAGCGCATTTTTGAAAACTTAAATTTTTACTTTTTCAAAAATTCAAAATTCTCAAAGATTCAAAAACCAGATTTATGATTAAAAATTCCACAATTTATTTCAATAATTTAAAGTTTAATAATTTAAAAAAATTTTATTTTAAAATTTCTAATTTTTTCATCTCAAATCACGTCATATTTTTGGGCGGTCTTAAAATTCCATTCCTTTTTACAGCATCCGTCAACCACTTAATAGCTTCCTCAACACCATCGCCAGTCAATCCAGATGTAGGAATTGTCAGGCAGTCTCTTCTTCCTATTAAATGCCCATGTTGCTGAAATACTGGCTTAATCTCCCGAACACCCATGCAGTCAACTATATCTTGTTTATTCGCTAAGATCAGCAATGGAACTCCACTAAGATACTCATTTTTAATCATTCTATCAAATAATTCTTTAGATTCATTCATTCGATCTCTGTCATTGCTGTCTATCACGTAAATTACTCCATGTGACTCGTCATAGTACTAAATTTGAGATAATTAAAAAATATGGGATAAGTTTAGTTAAACAAAATGTCACAATTTTATAGATTTTAAGGTTTGACAGTTAAAGTTGTAGCTTACCTTGTCCCATAATGATTGAAGCTCTTTTTGACCTCCTGAAATTTTTAAAAATTAGGATAAGTCTAGTTATTAATGGGATAGGTTCAGTTTAGTTTGTGATAGATTCAGTTTGATTTGTGAAAGGTTCTGTTTGGTTTATGATAAGTTCAGTTTTTCTTTCAATACGTTCATTAATTACTGGATAAATTCAGTTAATAAAGGAATAAGTTCAGTTAATATAAGAATACGTTCAGTAATTTTTAATAAAAGTTCAAATATTAGGTCGATAAGTTCAGTCAGTAATGTGTAATGTGTTCACTTATTTTTGGGATAAGTATAGATTTTCATGTAATAATATCAGCTGCTTTCAGGATGAGTTTAGTTATTTATTTGACCAAATTGAATTTTTCTATGGATAGGTTCAGCTATTCTTTGAACGAGTTTAAATATCAGGATATGTTCATTTCCTCTTGGGATTAGTTCAGTTATTTTTAAGATAAGTTCAGTTTTTTCATGAAATAATAATTATTATTCTTTGGAAAAGTTTAGATATTCTAATGATAATTTCATCTTTTCTCTAGTATAGTCTTACTACCTGATGGGTCAATTTTAAGATAAAATTACTTTTTCTTAAGATGTGTTCAACCAGTTTAAGGATAAGTTCAGTTATTTTTTAAAACAGGATTAATTGTTCTACGATTAGGTTCAGTTTTTAATGGAACAAGTTCAGTTATTCTTAGAATAAATTTACTTATTCATGACATTACTTTCGTTTTTCTTAGGACAAGTTCAGTATTCCTCAGGATAAGTTCAGTTATTATTAAGATAAGAAAATTTTTATAGTTCACTTCTTATTAAGAAATGTTGACTTATTCCTAAGATAAGATCAGTTACTCGCATGATAAGATCAGTTAATCACAGGACGAGTCCAGTTATTTTTAGGATAAGTTCAGTTTTTCTCAAGACAAGTTCAGTTTGTCATGTTAAAAGACTAATAAAAACTCACCCAAATCCCAAAAACTAAGTTTAACTCCACTGATGTTAATTTCTCCAATATTAAGACCGACTGTTGTTGTGATGAATTTAAGGTTCATTCCTTTATATCCTTTGGTAAATTTCATCTTTGCTGTCTCTAAAAATGTTGACTTTCCTGAAATTTAAAGATCCAGAGAAGCAGTTCAGCATTTAATATCATTTCTTGGTGTCAAATTTCAATTTTATTATCCAAATTCCACTAATTTTGGAAATTTTGACATTGATCCTTACCAGCATCATCTAATCCTAGTATCAGAATATTGAACTCATCCTTCTTTGTTAACATTTCATAAAAACCCGATGCTAAATGATACATTTTAGACTAAAACTCTTTTAACATCAATAAATTTATTAAATGACTACTTTTTGTTTACGTTTATGTGGTGAAAAACTCCTCAAAACAATGTGGTGAAGTTGACTTTAGAAATTCAAATTTCAAAAAACCGTTACAACAATTTGAAAACTAATCAAAATGTTCTGAGTTCAAAGTTTCCTTGTGATAATCAAATGCTTATGTTTATCATGTCTAGTGATTCCATAAATGACATCATTTTGACTTATCAGACACTCAAGTTAGTCATGATGCTTAAAAGGGATAACAAATGAGGCTGTATTGAGTTTAGAGCATGTTTATGGCTCGTGAGTCAGAATATTTCATCATGAATTCAAGTCATGACATTGCTGATGCTGTGATTATTGAATGGGAAGCTGATATGAAGCTCTTGGATGTATGATTGGCTGGAAAGTCAATAGAAGTGATTTTGGTTATTTGTAAGCTTTATTCAGGTATGAAAAATTGAAAAGAACTAGTCAAGTACATCTTAAAAGGTAGGAACTTTATTATTTTAGGTTAGGTATGAAAAATACCTGATGAGATTAGAGCAGTGATGGTCAAGCTGTGTGCCGCGGCACATTAGTCTGTCGTACAAAAATTTGGAACATCCCACGAATCTTATGCTGTATGCAGTTTATGTCATGATTTACAACCAAGTGTGCCGTGGCACAAAAAAGGTCGAACACCACTGGATTAGAGAATTTTACAAAATTTCTAGAAACTCCACAACTTAGTCTCTACAATCATCATCAACTGAACACACTTCATCATAAAAATCCCCAATAATCTCATATTGATCCTCAATCTCAATCTTCACAAAGTCATGTCCATCGCTGTCATTCAGTTCCTCTGACGTGTTCATCTTGTGACTTATCATCGATCCTCTGTAATTAGCATTTTTGTAGTTGAGATTCTCGGGCAATGGCTTTGGAATTTTATGTTTTAGGTCAGTTGTGCTGGATGCTTCTGATCCATCAGAATTGCAGTTGAGGTTGGCTGAATTGACACTAATAAATCCATCAAGTTCATAGAAGTCTTCAATTATGTCTAGACAATCAGATTCTGGTTCCAGTTGTGTGACTTTTTGAGGATTAAGCTTGCTGTTGCTGTACATCACTTGATTCTGCAGTTTTTTACTTGAATAATGGACACATTTGTCAGCTAGGTCCTGCTTCATGTAGCACAAGCTTAATCCCATCATGTCAATCCTGTCTGACCGTTCACAACAGCAAGCATGATCCAGGCTTTTTGCCATTTGAATTTTCGGCTTTTTAGGATTGTCTGAGGAACTTGCGCCTTCATACGTCCTCAAATCGACATCACCAACATTTTTATCTTGAATTTCCTGCATCAAAATTTCATTCCTAGCTGACAGCCGCAGTTCCCTAAGTCCAAGCTTATCAGCTACCGCAAACAAGTCCTTCATCTTTAGGTACGGATCAGATTTTGAGGTTGGAATGACTCCATTGTAAAAATAATCCACAACTTTCTTAAATGCATACCTTGGGATGTCAATCAAGTTCAAGTTCCTTGCGTCTGGATTTTTGTGAATCATTTTAGCTAAAATTGGCGATCTGGCAATGAGCAGAAACTTGTGGACAGTCAGGACTTCATTGCAGCACCTCTCATTACAGTCAATGCCATGGTAACAAGATTCCTTAATTGTGACTGTAAAGTCCTTAAATTCTTCATTTGCGAGTAGCTTTTTGAGGTCGGTGCAGACACTGTCGCATGGCGAGCAGCCATTGATGATCTTTTTGAGTTCGATGATTGATGGAGCTTTGGTGTGTGGATCAAAGTTGTCAGGAAGTGACAGATCTATAGATTCTACGTAGATAGCATTGATTGATGGATTCTGGATGAGATAGACTGCTTTTAGGGACTTTAGAGTGTCGAAGATGTTAGGCTCGATTGTTGTCAACTTTGTTTTGTGAAACATGATCACTTCCAGTTCTCGCAGGTCTCTAAACACTTCAGTGTCTAAGTGATAAACAGGCGAATGCTCAACAATCAGTTCCTTCAAATTTTCCAATCCTTTCAAGTCTTCACGGTCAATTTTGGATATTTTGCAGTCATTGATGATTAAAACTTCAAGATTTGGGAAAATTTGTGTCAAGCCTTTTGGAATTCGAGTGCAGTTTCTGGTGCGCATTAGACGGACAATTTTGACATCTTCATTGGATTTATCAAGCATGTGCTTGTTGTGTTCGAGGAATTCATTTTGTTGCCCATTGATTTCAATGATTGTGCATGTATAGAGCTCAGATTTGCGTGGAAATGATGTAAAATTATGGTAAAGGCATTCAGTGATGTTTAGAGCTGGGATGTCCGGTGTGTCAGCTTTGATGTCCATTTTTAATGAAATTATATCAATTATTGCTTATTTTAAACTTTTATTATTTATTTTTGTCAAAAGTTTCTCAAGTTTTGAGCACTTTGTGATGAAACTTAATGTTGTCAACTAAAGATCTGCCATAATACTGACGAGATGCTCGCTCATTATGCTGCTGATTAGGAATAATACTCTCCTGCTTTCTCTTTCAACAATTCATAATACTCTCTCAAGTGAACTTATATTTCTTGTACTTAGGGGCCGGTCAATTATTACGTAACGCTTTTATGGGGGGGCTTGAAGAAGGGGGGGGGGGGGGGTGCGACAGAAAAAAGTATCTATGCAAATTTTGTGGCATGACTGGTGGAGATGGTATAAAAAAATCATGCTTTTTGATGGACGTCATAAGTGAACGACCCCTTTTGTGTCGCACTTTCATTTGGGAAAGTTTATTAGAAATGTATGGGGGGGATGGGGGAGGGGGGGTGTGACAATTTATACTAAAAAAACTTTTTTTTATGCAAATTTTGTGACATGGCTGGAAGAGATGGTTTAAAAAATCATGTTTTTTGATGGACGTCATAAGTGAACGACCCCTTTTGTGTCGCACACTCATTTGAGAAAGTTTATTAAAAATGTATTTGTGATTAATGCAGAAACTTATTCATCATTTGTTTATACTGCAGCAAAAAAAATATATTAAAAAGTTTTAAACTTTATTAGAATAAAAACACTCTGAATAAACACTGAATTAGATCAAGACTAAGTCCAGAACAGTCCATACAACGAAGCTTCAATCAAAGTTACAGAATGGAATTAGTATCAAGCTTCAAGACCTTCATTGGTAGTCCTGATATAAAATTTTATCGATGCACCATCAAAAATCAAATTATTAACAAAGATTCAGCAATAAAATTGAGTACACAACATCATGAACAGGACAAGACAATCAATGATGTAACTTATGTGCAATTTGAGGACTGCTCGATAGAAAAGATACCAAAAGGATTGTCAAAAGTCTTTCCAGGCATGAAAGTTCTCTTTATTTTTAATTCAAAGCTCAAAAAAATATCAAAAAATGATTTAATTGAGTACAAACATTTGGTAAGGTTTCATAGTGAGCGCAATGATCATGAATTCATACCTGGAGATTTATTTGAAGACTTTAAAAGTCTTGAATGGATTTCAATTTGTGGCAGTAAACTTAAGATTATTGAGCCAAATATTCTCGATGGACTTGAAAACCTTCAAGTTGTTCGCTTCTTGCAAGCTTCGTTATTGGACCAGCTTTATTCAATCTATCCAGAACATGGAGGTAATTCAAGTCTAGATGAGTTTAAAGATAAACTTTTGAAGACATTTTTAACAAACGATCTTCAAACTATTAAAAATTATTTAAATAAGCTTCAACATTCGTCACAAAAAGGACTCTTTGGTGACCTAAAAGCATACATTAAGGACGACAGCTCCAAAGACATAAAGATTCATATTGATGATCGAGAATTTCATGTCCATAAACTGCTCTTGACTATTCGCAGTCCACCAATAGCTGAAATTTTACGAAATAATCCCGAAGCTGCCAATTTAAATTTGGTTGACATTCCCGTCGACATTTTTGAGACAATTCTAAAATTTCTCTACACTGACGAGCTTCCAGCAGATGAAGACCAAAACTTTATGCAGCTTTTTGTCGCTGCAAATCGCCTACAAATCAAGGAACTGAAAAACTTTGCTGCTACAGAAATTTCTAATCGAATTAATGCAGTTAATGCCATGGACATCTTCAACATGAGCCACAAGTATGATCAAGAGGAGCTAAGAAAAAAGTCATTTGAGGTAGTCAAGAAAATGTATCCAAAAATTGAATTTAAGGATGAATGGGCATCAAATCCAGAAAAGGTTGTTAAAATTATCGAAGGATATAAAAAAATGGAAGAAGAAATCAGAAAGCAAAAGGATGAGTTTGAAAGCTTGATGACTGAGAATTAACGCCAGTTGGGTATGCATAGGCTGTCCGTGAGCTGTCCGTCGGCTGTCTATCTTAAAAAGTGGGACAGACCAATTTTCAAGCAGTTTTCAAGAAAAATAGGTTCAAAAAAGCGGGACTGTCCCGCTTAAAAAGGGACACTTGGACAGCCTACCGTATACAACAGGGGCGTAGCCAGAAAATTTTTAAGGGGGGGGGGCCCATTTTCGAAAATTAAAAAACCGTTATTTTGTATCCTTAAATCGTTATTCATTCTTCATAAGCTTAAATATTTAATTCATTATTCATACATTAAATTTAATTTTTCGTGCTGATTTTGACATTTCTTTCATCACTTCCTCTACATTAACTGGTTCTTCTCTATAAATACTTAATAAAACAATTATCAGATTTTCGTAGTGGGGGGGGGCCCTATGGCCCCCCCTGGCTACGCCCCTGGTATACAATCAAAAGACAATATATTATTTAAGTTGACAGCATTATTAAAATGTATATCATGTTATCAAGTTTCAGCAATAAACTTACAACAAATGGGGTCATTCACTTATGACGTCCTTTAAAAAAAACGTGATTTTTTAAAACCCACTTCCCCCCCCCCCCCCCCCCCCCCAAAAAAAATTTGAGTAGAACAAAAATTCTTTTGTGTGAGCCGTCAGAAAATCCTTGATCCCTTTTTCCTTTTTAATCTTGGACATCATTAGTGAACGACCCCAATAGTAAAGATGTATTTTTTTACTGTAAAAGTATTAGTGATTTTGCATTAGATTCTAATCAGGGGCGTAGCCAGAAAAGTCTTGACCCCCTAAAAGTTATTGGAAGTGACAACAACAGCGATTCTGGTTCCTTTAATCAACCAATAATTGCAGATGAAGATTCACACGGAACAGCTACAACAACAAGAGCCTAAACGAACCACAGCGAAAGCAAGGCGCCCTCCTGGTTGCAGCACTGATTTTAATTCTCTTTAATGGTCTTTAATGAATCATAAGTTTTTGTATTAATTTGATGAAAATAGTCAAGAAAAAGTTATTTCATTTAATTCTATAAATTAAGAAGTTTTATCAAGCATAAAAAACCGTTACGATCAGTTTTAGTAAACAATCATAAACTTCCTGTTCAATTTCTTTTGATTAGTGCTGTTAAATAATTTTAAATTTACAGATTCTCAAATAAATCATCATTTTTTAAACTTCCAAATATGGATGTACCGTGTACATTTGACGACTTAGAATCATTATCAGATGAAGTCTTCTACCATTGCTTGATCCAGGATGAACAAATTCCAGAAGATGAAGATTTCACCTATTCAGGTCAGCACTTGAACGACAGAACCAACAATGATGTGACATACGTTCAATTCAACATGTGTACAATGTCAAAAATCCCCAAAGGACTTACCAAGTCATTTCCAAACATGCAAGCTTTAAGCATTCTGTCTGCAAACATTGAAAACATCAGCAAAGATGATTTATTGGAATATAAAAATTTAAAAAGATTTCATTTTGAGAATAATCATATTGAGTTTCTACCTGGTGACTTGTTTGATGACTTTCGGAACTTGGAATGGATTTCATTTTTTGGAAATGAATTAAAAGTTATTGAGCCGAACTTGCTGGATGGACTTGACAACCTTAAATATGTTTGTTTAAAGGAAAATCAAAAATTTGACCAATTTTATTCAGTTTATAACGAACATGAATCAAATGCGACTTTAGAGGAGATTAAGGATGACCTTAATGAGAAGTTTTACGAAGCTGATCCTGAATTTATTAAAAGTTATGCCAAAAAGCTTCAAGCTTCATTGAAAACTGGATTAATTTCAGATATTAAGTCTCTGATTTGTGATGAAAATTCCAAAGACTTCTCAATTTCAATCAATAATCATGAGTTTAAAGTCCACAAGTTCCTACTAGCTGCAAGAAGTCCAACCTTAGCTGAACTCCTGCGCAACAACCCTGAAGTTGAGAATCTTAACCTTGTTGACATTCCAGTTGAGATTTTCGAGCTGATTCTGAAATTTATTTATACTGACGAACTTCCACGCGGAGATGCGACCGACTTTATTCAACTCCTATCTGCTGCATATCGTCTGAAAATCAAAACATTGATGGACTTTGCTGCTGAGAATTTAACCAAGCAATTGAATGAGGACAATGCCTTAAACATCTTCAAGATCAGCAACAAATACCAACAAGATGAGTTGAGAGAACAATCGTACCGAGAAGTCAAGTATCATTATCTAGGCATCAAGTTCAAAGACGAGTGGATTAATGATCCAGAAAAAGTTGAAAATATCATTCAAGAATACATTAAAATGGAAGCGGACATCCAAACAATTAGAGACAAATTTTATAATTTATTGGACGAAAGTTAAATAAAATCTTCAATTTTTTACTTATCAGCATCATAAACAACCCCAATTTGCCTTCTTATCTCATCCTGGATGCGAGAAATTGTCAAGCTTTCCTTTCGTGTCACAACATCGCATTCAGTCAGTCCAGCATTGAAGCATTTCCTTATTTCTTCAGCTTCATAGCTCAATCCAACACTATTTGGGTAGTTAAAGTCACCAAGTCGATGTTTTGGAAGTTCAAACACTTTTGTGGTTCCATCGATGTCTGTCACTTGTGTTGGGCACCAGACTTGGTGGAGCTGGAATGGGATTAATTGATAATTTGGTGAAATTTTGATTTTAGAGTAGACAATTATCAAAATAGTGACACCATGGCCAGCATGAAGCTAGCATGGAAGGAATAAACTTAATCTGGCTTCACAACAGCCTGACTTCCATATTTTACGATTTTCAACACTTTTTGCCATTCAGTATAGCTTTATACTCACAGTCATAGACCCCTTAGTGCCCCTAATCACTGCCTTATTGTCCAGCATCTTTAAACAGCTTGTCTTAATTTTTGCGATGCCTCCTTTTGCAAACTTAATTTCCACTTCCGTTTCAACATCAACTTCATCATCATTGAGCTTTCCAGTTGCTTTGATTGACGTTGGTTCATCACGGAGTGCAAAAAGTGAGACTTGAATTGTGTAGACTCCAAGATCGAGGACAGTGCCGCCACCTAGGGCTTTCTTACTGGAATTTAAATGAGAAATTGAGTTAGAGGAACTGAAGGTTTTGATAGAATTTTGTGGCATTTTCTTAGAGCTTTGGGATTTGGCTTGACCGGGATAACTTTTAGGGTCGTTTTCTAAGGCTCCTCGGTACATCTAACCCAAATGGCACAAGTCCGTTAGTTGATCAGAAATCCAGAGTCATGCTAGCTTGGTCCTAGATTTATTTTTGATTAACCGGCTTGTGCTATTCGGAGACGCTACCCTAAAGGTCCATAAACACCAGCACAGTAAAATTTCAGTCTAATTCATTCAAAATTCCAAAAAACCAATTCAATTCCCCAACTTACGTGACTCGATCACTTCCCTCTCCCGTCCAGTCAAACCCAAATGACACATCAACTTCTTTAATCTCACCAAGATCTCCGTCATCGATTCTCTTCTTTAAATACTGATAAGATGGAAAGAATCTCGACCAAATAGCTTCAACACAAAGTAAGTTCTTCTCTTTGGCACATTCAAGAAGCTTTGTTGTCTGTTTAAGGTTTAATGTCAATGGTTTTTCGCATAAAATGTGCTTGTTGCCATCGAGGAGCATCAGATCGATATCAAGATGAGTGTGGTTGAGGGTTCCGATGTAGACGATGTCTAGAATGTAGTAAATGATTGTTAGGAGTTTGATGATTGTTTAGAATTGCTGGATAAGAGCTGATGAAGGTGGAATAAGTTTGGAAGGAGAAAGAAGCAGTACTAGAGCTTATACAGGCTAGAGTACTAAGGCTCCATTCATAATATTGAGTAAAAAACAGTAAGTTTCGGTTTCTAGAGTTTCACGTTACATCATAATTAGATTGGACATCTTAACAAGGCTTTCTACAGCTAATCTACTCTATATCCAACTTCTAAAGTTAAGGTACCTTAAAAAAGGTAGGTTAGGACATATCAAACCAAGCCTAAACATAAAAATATAGCACAGATCCAAAAAAAAACACTAGAAACTGCACTCGATTGTTAATAATCACATCTGTCCATACTGATACGTAATCATCGATAATTGTGTGCTTTGAACTTGAAGCCTGGTCGGCAAATAACGAAATTTATAAGGAAACGATAAGTTTGATAATTTTGCAATATTTGCGGCTTTTCTGATAAAACTTTGAATATTTCTAGAAGCTATGAACTCATTGGATCAAATTTCAATAAAGTTGGTACTTTCTTGCCTACAAATCCTCAATCACCATCCACATAACATCACAGACTCACCAATCTCATCATTTTTAGCCAAACTCTCATATCCTTCATAAAACATTGGAATTTCGAACTTTTCAGCAAAACTTTTGGCATCTGCAAGATTTCTAGCTGCAACGGCGACAATTTTGTGATTTTCAGCTGGCAGAGCTGACAATGCAGCACAAAAGTCATTGGAAATTCTCCCAGTTGATGCGATTCCCCAACGCAGTGGTGCCATTGTGTAGATTTTTATTTAAAAATGACTGAGAATAAGTGAGAACTAAAGCTAGTCAACTCAAAACAACACAGTCAACTGAAGTTTTTTGCTTGCACTGATTTTAGATTTTTTATAAGAATCAATCATTGTGTGACAAAATACAGTCAAAGTGTTTGATTGTGTAACAAACCAATAAAATTACATTGTGCATGTCAAGATTATTAAAAGCACTCGATCTTATCAATCTGAGTTATCAGTCTTTAACTGATATAACCCTGCAGCCTTGAAGATATTTCCACAAAGTCATCATGAAAAATAAGAATTTTTCAGCCTGAGACAGCAAAACTACGTCATTTATTACAAACTATTATCAACACATTAAGTAAGATCAGTCAAAAATTGCAACTTTTATTCAAAATCTTAAATTAATCTTGCTCAAAAACCACGCCAATCTGCTTCCTGACTTCATCCTGAATGCGAGCGATTGCCAAACTTTCCTTATGTGGAATTGCGTCACTTTCAACCTTCCCAGCATTAATTAATTGCCGTATTGCTTCAGCTTCGTAGCTTAAACCAACGCTGTTGTGGAAATTAAACTCGCCAAGTCGATTTTGTGGCAATGGAAACTCAATAATGGCACTGTCGATGTCAGTGACGCGTGTTGGACACCAGAATAAGTGAAGCTGTGGAGAATATTAATTAATTTTTGGATTATTTCAATATTGTTTGATCCAAAACCTACCCTCATGGTTCCTTTAGTTCCTTTGATTGTTGCGATGTTCTCCAGTTCTTTCAACGAACTTGTTCGGATCTTTGCAGTTCCTCCATTTGGGAATGACAACTCAAATTGAGTTTCAATGTCGACACCATCATCATTGAGCTTTCCAGTTGCTTTGATTGATGTTGAATCAGCACGGAAGGCAAAAAGTGAGACTTGAATTGTGTAGACACCAAGATCGAGGATTGTGCCACCACCGAGGTTCTTGGTGCTGGAAGAATCAATGAATATTTGACTTATACTTGATCTATCACAATCTATACTCACACAACTCTTTCGCTATCCTGCAAATTAAATCCAAATGACACATCCACTTCCTTAATCTCACCAAGATCTCCGTCATCGATTCTCTTCTTTAAATATTGATAAGATGGAAAGAATCTTGACCAAATAGCTTCAACACAAAGTAAGTTCTTCTCCTTAGCATGCTCTAAGAGCTTCTTTGACTGCTTCTCGTTTAATGTCAATGGTTTTTCACATAAAATGTGCTTGCCTCCATTTAGCATTAAGATTCCATTTTCTAGATGATTGCTGTTGATGGTTCCGATGTAGACGATGTCTGTGGAGTGAATGGAATTGAAGTTAAGTCATGTTAGGTTAGAAGAAGTTGAGAAAGATGTAATTGGATCGATATCTTTGATATATCCTAAGATTATCATTGAGGAACAATCCTCTGAACATTAATCTATTTACATCCACTGATTAACCATCCCCTGGATCCAACAACACTCACCAATCTCATCATCCTTAGCCAAACTCTCATATCCTTCATAAAACTTTGGAATTTCAAACTTTTCAGCAAAGCTTTTAGCATCTGCAAGATTTCTAGCTGCCACAGCTACAATTTTGTGGTTTTCAGCTGGCAGAGCTGACAATGCAGCACAAAAGTCATTTGATATACGTCCAGCTGATGCGATTCCCCAACGTAGTGGTGCCATTATATTCGTTGTTTGAATCTGTTGATTAAAATTGACAGTTTACTTCCAAATGGATTCGCAAAGCACAAGCTACATAAGCAATTACTCAAAACAACAAATTCACTTGATTAATTAAATATTTATTTTTCCTCACTTATTGTGATCATTAAAAAATTACTCACAATTTACAGACCTAGCAGAAAAATAAAATCGAAGCGATTGAAGTTAATTGACTAATTGAACTGCTCGAGTACCTATTTTTATAATAAATTCCGATTATTTTTTCACTTTTACCAACACAGTGACTGAAAAAAAGCCGCGATCCCAACACAGTCAAATTCAACAGCTGATTAATATTTTCACTAGTGTCACAAGTGGACCCGAAGATGAAGATGTGTGTTCTGCCGGCTTTTTTTATACAAATATTAGTGGAATGGATGTGTATCAAGCTTGCTAAGGCTAGCAATTTACAGTCAATCCAATTAGTTGATAAGCTATCATTAAATCCAGTTTTCTGTACAATCATTCACCAAATTGTGTGTAAATTAGAAGATAACTGTCGAGAGCATTAAGTACTTACTCAATAAGAATTTATGGCGATTGTTGAATCCAGTGATGGTCAACGAATGTGCCGCGACACACCAATGTGAATGACATCGAAATCGACAATTTGTAGCACAAACATAGCTTCAGCAAATGCTCAAGTAGGAATCAAACGAAGAGATAAAATAGTCCTCAAGTCAACTTGCAAGAAATACGATCAATCGTGTTAACTACTTGACTGAGATCAGCATTGACGACAGCAGCAGACACGACTGTCTTAGCAACTTAAATATTCAAAATTAAAAAACAAATTTAATCACAAATCAAAGAATTTTTTTATTGAAAATAAATTAATAATTTAATTCTTTCCCATCAAGTTGTTATCCCCCCTTCATCATGCTTAGAACATAGCATCACCACAGCGTCCAATAAATGGAACTAAAACTGGTGTAGATTTTTTATAAATCTTGTATTCTTCGTAATGTCCAAACTTCTCATCAGCATTTTTTTCTAAAATTGGAATTCCACTTCCAAAAATCAGCATTGAAGCTATAAAAGCCGGTGATATAAAGACAAGCCACGATTGAGATCCACTAAATGCAATAACAGCGATTGAGCACCAAAGCAAAATTTCACCAAAATAATTCGGGTGTCTTGAGTAAGTCCACAAGCCAGACTTGATGAATTTATCCTTGTTTTTAGATTCTGAACGGAATTGAAGTTTTTGGTAGTCAGAAATAGATTCAATTAAAATTCCAGCAATAAACAGGATGCATCCGATGTAATCAAGAGCTTCAAGCTGAATATTCTTTTCATTTTGTGAGATAATCAGCAGTGGAAGTAACATGATGAACACCCAAACACCTTGGAGTGTCCAAATCATCAGGAATCGACACAAACTTGTCTTGAAGTCAGCAAATCTTGCATCAATTCCATTATTTCTGGTGATTCTTGCATTCAAAAATGCTCCCAATCTGACTGTCCAAATGATAATTAGTAAATTAAGGAAGACAGTTCTGATGCTGTAATGTCCACTGATGACAAAATTGACGATTATTGCCGAAACAAATGTGGCACTTCCAACTACATCAAAATGCTTTTCAGTCCTCTTAGTTGCAGAACATCCACGAGCATGAGCAAAGAATATCCACTGAAGTCCAATGGTCAGATATGCGATGTAATGGAGTGTGAAGCTGTTATCAGCACTGACTATGAATGCTATTGTTTGTGTTGATAAGATGCAGGCAAGCACAACTATTAAAGGTCCCAAAGTATTAAAAAACATTTTCTTTTCTCTTCAACTTTTTGATGTTGTCTGTTTCAAAGATTAAAGACTACTGAATTATGAGAGTAAGTTCTTACTGATTATTTTGAGATGTTGGACTTTAGTTACAGTTGATCTAGAATAAAGGTTTACTTATTTGATGATGTTGGTGTGAGTTATCATTTCAATGCTATGCTGCTTAATGATTCATTATGTTTTGAGAATGATGGGATATTATGGAGAGTAGTAAGAAGTCTTGCTTAAATAAGCTAGTGGACATGACAGTTCGACCGTTTGACTAATTGAAAGACATTAAAGCTACTGCAGACGATTTGAATCCGATTTATGATGCTCTTTAAAAAAACTGACTCAAATCCCAGTTTCTAGGTCCTTCCAGGCACCCTAGGGCTAGACTAAGGAAGGCCTTTCCTGGTTGAGGATGTAGCCATAGGGGCAGGCGCGTAGTCAGGGGGTGGATTTGGGGGACAAATCCCCCTTCGTCTTGGGAAATTTCTTCATTTTGCAAGAGTTTTTATGAAAAACTCAAAAAAACTACCCCAACCCCCCCAAAAAATTTTCATACAAAAAAATGCCCCCCCCCTTCTTCAAATTTCTGGCTACGCCTGTGCATAGGGGTCAAAACTTAAGCCGTCTTGAGCTATCAAATTCAATGTATTCATGAAGGCTTTGTTCAATAGCTCAAGATGTCAGCCTCAGGAGCTTTATCAAGAAGATTCATAGCTCTGCAACGTTGGTGACTGGTGCTGGTCGTGACACAACTTTATACTAATATTCAAAACCTAAAACAATATCCTGAAAAACGCAAGTCGGTAAATTGAATAAAAATCCGGCACCAAGCAAGAGTGTGGTACTGATCAAAAATTATCAAAAATTATCAAAAATGATCAAAATGTAATTCTTCAGTTCCACACCCCTTGGCACCAAGCTGACGTGACTCTGACATTGTAATGAAATTAAATGGAATCCACCACCAACTTGGTACCAGATTTCTCTTCGATTAACCAACTTGTGCTATTCAGGTATCCCTCCACGCCTCCTTATCCAACTCCTAAGCCTGATTCTTATGCAAAACTTAATTTTAAAAAATATTTAAAACTCAATTTTCTCAATTTTTCTCATTTAAACTTGGGTTTTTTTATTTAAACAAATGTTTTTAAGGCTTCTTTTGAATCCATCGATATTGTGATCAATTTCAAAGTGAACATTGAATTGGAAGCAAGTGTCTATTAATGTGATAAAAAAGGAATTTTCTAGAAAGTTAAAGTTTTATTTTTTTTTTGAAATTTTAAGCTTCATTGAGGTTTAGTTTCTGTTTTGATAGCTGTAAATCATGGAAATTAAGGGTTTACTTTTGTTTTTAGCACTTTTTTGCTGTAAGTATTGATGGCAATTTATCGTTGTAATCTTAATTCATAGGGTTCCTGTGTATGATAAGGCTCAATATTAACTCAAGGGTTAATAATAATAATGTGTGAAGGGCCCAGCCTTTCAGCTAGAGGCACTGCGACTCAAATTAGAACAGAATCTATTGTACCACACCCTTTAGACCTACAGTTTATAGTAGGATCCAAACCACTTGCAAGCTCTGCACATTGCAAAAACACGAGTACGTCATAAGACCTGATGTACCCTACAATGTTCCTAGTCAAGGGTTAAGGTTAACTTACTTCGATGTCCGTAAAGATCAATTGTGATCCATGTCCTCCTTTAGATGGCACTGCTGCCTTAGATTTCCAATTATCAATACTGTCTGAATCAACAGCGTCCCTTCGTAGGTTCTCATCCGTCCCTGTGCTCTTTTGCCATCTACAAAGGGTCAAGAACTGATCACAAAAGATCAAAAGTCAGTTGATCAGTTCTTATTCCTTATTTTGACTCTCTGGCTATAACTTGCACCTAAAAGCAACTAGATTGCATTATTTTTACCTTTATTCTGTCATATGCTTGATGACTATAGCTTACTAGAGCATTCCGAAGCAGAATTGAGTGTCTTTGAGTTGCTTTCGCTTACCAACTCTGTCCTTAGGTCTTTTACAGACTGCATCTTAGGGGCTGTTCAGTTATGATGTCCAGGGGGGGTCAGACAGAAAAGAACAATAGAAATTCCTGGAAATCCATGTCCTGGTCCAAAAATGACCGTTAATTTCGGACGTCATAATTGAACGGCCCCTTATCAAATTTCATAGTAAATGACGCATTCGTCTCATTTAACAACTTAGATAAGCTATAGACACAACCATGAAGCTCAATTTACATCCTGGATGTCGATTTGAAGCTATTATAGCTCCTTAATCAATCACAAATGGATCTTTCCATCAATAAACCCTTAAATTCAGAGAATTGCCTTTAAATCACAGTTCCAACTCACATTTTCATTACAGACTCCACATCATCTCCAGCATATGAATCATCTCTCGAAGTTTACAACAAAGAAGACGACTCAAATGACGAGTTTAGATATCCATGCCGTAAGTGACGAAATGTCCACAATTTTTTTCATCATTTTTATTTTTCATGCCTTAAAACACTTGCGTGACGTCACAATTCACACAATAAAACAACAACTTATTTTTTTCCAGCCGTAAAATGGAAGCCTTATCGTCTTGATGATGAGCCAAACAAGTACGGCATCAAGTCAGGCATTTATCAACATGATGATCAAGCATTCATCGCTCGTGGAATCATCAAAAACACAATAACATTCGGAAGAATTAAGATTGATGGAAAGCCAGGCTTTTATACACAAATGGGCGGTGAGCAGTCATTCAATGACAATCCTAATCAAATCTGGTACTTGGCAAAGAATCAAGACTGCAAATACTCTTGGGTTGATGCTGATGACGAGAGTCAGAGGAAGTTTGTGATTGACATTGGAAGTGATGAAATTGGAATTAGAGTTTTCATCCCAAGATACTCACAAGCGCCACCAATGAAAGGTGGATTGTTCTATTGGGACGATGCTTTGGCTTCGTTGAAGATTAGGAACATTACGTACCAGACATTGACTTGCAGAAGCAAGAATCGTGAGTATTAAGGAACTGGAATGTTCAAGAACTTCTTACAACTTTACTTCCACTTTTCAGCTATTACATCCAGCAAGCAAAAGTACAACAGTCCAAATTATCCACCAACAATTCATAGATCTGACGACTCAGGCTGCAAGCACACCTGGAAGTTCTTTAATAATCCAGCAGAACCAGCACAAGATGGCCTTAACGCTGGTCTATTTGAGGCTAATAATCCAGCATATGTTGGTATGACAATGGTCGGTAGATTCTGGCGTCCAAGTAGAATTCAAACTGTATCTCCAGTCGGTGCTTACTATCTTGATGATTTAGAGGAAGAACATTGTAGAAATCACAGCTACTACTTAGTAGACAATCCAAAGTACAAATACTATTGGGTTGATGTTGTTGGCAATGAATACATTAAGAACTCAGTTGCTGTAAGTCAGGATTCAGGACCATTCAGGTTCCCAATTGGTAAAGCTATACTTAATGGAAAGACAATTATTGGATTGACTGATGGCGTTGGTGGACTTATATATCCTGATAAGAATGGTGATCAGCATGTTGTTGTTCAGTATCAAGTGTTGGCATGTGATCCAGTTCCTAAGTACAAGTGTGGTAAGTTCCAGTTGGAATTTATTTGAGATTTTGCTGATTTTTTGATAATTTTTCTAATTTTCTAGCTCAATCCTGGAAGTCCTACAAACTTGACACCGCACCAGCCACCGATGGCTTCTTAGTCGGCATCTACCGTAACAACATCGAAGGATTCGTTGGACGTACAATCACACCAGAATCTACTCAACACACAATTGGAAGAATTCGAATCGGTTCAAGATCCAAAGCTGGCCTTTATTACTTCAATGCTAAGCTAGGTTATGAGTCACTTGACAGATCTAGCTCAGTTGAGTATCTCGTCAAGAACCAAGGTGACACTTACCAATGGGTATCATCATCATCAGGCAAAGCTATTGACAATGCCATCAGGAACCAAGAAAATGGAGAATTTATGGTCGGCAAAATTCAATTTGATGACAAGACTTATGTTGGTGCTGTTAAGGCTGGTGAAGGGTTGATCTTTACAGATTATAAAGGAAGGAAGCAAGTGTCTGTCAATTATGAGGTTTTGACTTGCTATTCGTCGGTTTTGAGTCAGAATTGAGGGAGGAGATTTTGCTGATAAAAGGACTCCTTTGATGATGTTTGAAGTTACTGTAAGGGAAATTGGGGTCAATAAAGGCTGGAGGCTGACAGTTGAAGGCAAATTTGGGTTTTAAAATTCATTTTTATGGAAATTTACTTGAAATTTTAATTTTGTGCAAATAAAATAATTTTTTGATTTTATTTTAATACTTTTTTTATTTTTTATTTACAAATTAACAAGTTTTTAGGTTTGAAATCTGAAAATGGCGCCAAAATCGTACCAACCCCACCCAAATCCAATTTTACCCGAATGGCACAAGTCAGTTAATCGATCAGTAATCCGGAACTAAGCTGGGGTGACTTTGGTATGGTGCTGGATTTAAATCGAAGCCAGCACCATTCCAGAGTCATGCAGGGTAGGAACTGGATTTTTATTCGATTAACCGACTTGTACCATTTAGACCTATAGACACGCCCATTTCAAGAATTTTCCAACATCCCCGAAAATTCGAGTCCGAAATTTTGGATAATCCACTAGAAGTCTCCAGTTCTAAACTTTGAGGTTATGTCAGCTACCAGTCATTTTGGTATATAAACCACTGGTAGCAATGAGAATCAATCTCAAATTAAGTTTTAGTCATCAACAAGGCACATCTACAGAAACATACAATTTTAGTGCTTTTTTAATTACCAAAAAAAAAAGATTTTTACCAAAAAATTATTCAAATTTTACCAAATTAAAGTTTTATAAATTAAAAAAATATGGATCAAGTACAAAAGCAACAAAACTGCCCAGTCTGCATGGAAAAAATGGTAAAATCAGTCAAAACCGAATGTAATCATGAGTTTTGTGTCAAGTGCTTGTTCAAGTGGGTCTTCCTGTGCGTCGATGAGCGTGAAAAGATCGACTGTCCATTGTGCCGTCAAACAGTTTGGATGAATAACTTGAAGTGGATCAAACCTGAGGAAAATAAGGAAATTAGAGTTGAATCTAGTTGAATTTGAGATTTGAGAGTAGAGGAGTAGCTGTGGCAGGAGTTAAAGCCAGTGCTGCTCGAACTTTACAAGCTGTAAAGAAATTCTGGTTTACTGACACACTCAGGGATAGAATTGAGGATCAAAAAAGCTTCCTGGATCATAGTTTGCTGATGTAAAGGCTTGCGGCTGTCAGGATCATGAGCAAGAGATCCTGGATAGCTGACATCTTATTTATCATCAATTCTGGTGCTGTATTATGCAACATTCAGTTGCAATCAAGTATTTATTCAACTATTGGCTGCACATTCTTGCAAAAAAGGCTTAAAAATTGTAAAATAATGAAATTTAAAAAAAAATTAAATTCAAAAATTAAAACAAAAAATAAAAAAAAATTCATAAAAAATAAAAATGTTTAAAAAATTCAAAAATCAATTTAAAAAAAAACCGTTAATTCCAGAGTTGCTTCCTAATTTTTAAAATTCAACCCGGCTCAGAAACTTGTCATCCGCATCCAACTTCACGTTTATTTACAACTCTAAGTTACAAAAAAATTTCAAACAAAATAGTCAAGAAATGGAATTATTGCTGCAATTTTTGATAGTTACAAGCTCTGGAATAGCAATTAATGGCCACAATAACTACGATAAGGAGAATAAGGAGCCACAGAACAGTTATAATCCGCTTGGAGCATTAGTAAGGTTGGTTAAATGTGAAAATAATGGAACTTAATGTTCAAAACAATGAATTTTGTCAAATTAAATTATTTTAAATCCTCAAAAAAAAAACGCTAAAAAAAACTTTTTAAAAAACACGCTTTTATCAAAAAGACTAAAAATCAAAAAGTTCAAAATAAAATAAGGTCACACTTTTAGCGAATCAGGATTTTAAAAATTCTCTTGTGACAACTTGAAATGTAACATAAATTTTTTTCAAAATATTGTGATTAAGTCCAAGAACACAATGACTCTATAAGCGTGGGGCGTAATTTAAGGATGCATTTCTTAGTTCAACTAAGTTCTTAAGTAAGAGAAGCGTCAAATCTCAAAGCCCCACGCTTTTCGAGTCATTGTGTTCTTGGACTTAATCACAATATTTTGAAAAAAATTTATGTTACATTTCAAGTTGTCACAAGAAAATTTTTAAAATCCTGATTCGCTAAAAGTGTGACCTTATTTTATTTTGAACTTTTTGATTTTTAGTCTTTTTGATAAAAGCGTGTTTTTTAAAAAGTTTTTTTTAGCGTTTTTTTAATTGCTCCTTTTTTGGTCGCTTGGTTTTTAATCTTAACAACAGATTTAACTTTAATTCAATTCAATTCAATTTCACTTTATTGAAACCATAGCGGTTGTTTAAAATTATAGACATTCCAAAATGATAATATAATAGATATAAAAAAAAACAAAAAAAAAATTCATTTTACAATTCAATATGTGTGGGATAAAAGAATCCCAAGTAAGAAAAAAAAAAAAAAACAGGTGATAATTAAGACATTGTGAGAGAGTGAAAAAAAAAAAAAAATCAGGTATATATAAATCCTTAGTGGTAATTAGTTGGCTGAGCGTGATGCTTGTGAAGAAATTCTTTTTAGTCTCTTTGTCTGAGATTTGAATGATCTGTGAATCACGAGATTAGGTCCTAATCGGTCAAAAATTGACGAGCTTTTTGCAGCTGATAAAGGAACTGAGTCGATATAGTTTTTTGAGGGAAGTGTTGTATTTTTTATATTTTTCATAGAAGAGTTCCTTTGCATGGCCATTGCTTGTTCGCTCTCAGAACACAGAACAATATCGATCTCTGATAATTCTGACCAGAACTTTTTATCATTAGGTGCACTACCGATAATTGTTGCTAATTTATCCTTCTGGTTGATTGGAACGAAGTGAAGCGTCGACACGCAGAAAGTAAGTGCACCAAATGCAGCATGTAAAGACTTTAGCAGATTATTATTGACATCCTTTGTCTTAATCAAGAAACGCGCAGAGGAATCAGTAGCAGAAAATTCCAGTCTAACTCCGAATATTTTTGAGAAATAGATATCATTATCTTTTTTGGTCAAAACGCTCGTAATAAATTGATCAGCATTATCACGAATATTTTTGGCTGTAATATTGATTATATTGCCGTTGCACATTCCATGTGGAAAGTAAGAAGTTCTACAGTCAACCAAATGTTCACTAATGTTCGGGATGACATTCAAATAAATAATTTCACTATTGAGCACCAAGCTGAACTTCCCAAACACAGAATTTAAGTAATTCATTTTTGCTTTTTCACTTAAGGTTCGGATGTTGCTTCGCACTTCGATCAGCCCAAAGATCCAATTCTTTACAGAATCAGTCAGGTGGACTTCGATAAGCACCGAGAACAAATCTTTAAAATAAAAGCCTTTAATTTCTACGCGATTATCCACTAATAATTTATGGATTTCATTCATTTGTTTTTCAATCAAAACCTGATTTTTGCTGAAATATTTCAGAAATAATGACTCACTATTAAAATTTTTATGATCTATTTGTCCATCCATAACTTCATCCTTATCAGGGAAAAGCTGGAGTACATCCTCATCAGAACTCTCTGAATTCATTGTTAACAATAATTTAATTTAATATTTCGCTGTGTTTGTTGATTTTTAATTTAGATGATGCAGAAGGAGGTTAAAATCGCCAGACAGGGCTAGAAACTATGATTGTAGACTTTTTTGGAGACTTTTAATATTTGTAAACAAACTGAATTATTGTGAAAATTAATTGTACGAATTAAATAAAGAAGTTTTTGGAAGTAAACTGGCCAGACTTTACAAGTGACTGATTGCGACTGAGCAGGAACCGTTTGACGTCCTTTTTAAACAAGAAAAGGTTATTCACAGCTTTAATTTCGGCGGGTAATTGATTGTACAATTTACTTCCAGTGAAAGTTATATCGTCCTTTAAAGCTTTCTTTTTAGCACTGACCAACAACAGATCCTGCTTCCTTAAGCTCCTAAGCCTTTTTATTTTTGGCAGAGAACCATCGTTGGATGTCACACACTTTCTAACCATAATAATGGCAGAGTTAAAAATTAATCCAGTAATCGGTAATATATTCTTTGCTTCCTTGCTAAACAATTCTGTTGTTGGGTAAGTGTCCAGTAATCCAAAAATAATTTTTAATGCTTTGTTTTGTAGTCGTTGTAGACGTTGAATGTCGATAGATCTGCAGTGCAACAAGGTAAATCCAGTAAAGTTGATATGTGACTGAATATGAGCGTGGAAAAATTGAATTAGAGCATCTTGTGACAAGACAGTTTTGAGATATCGTAGAGCATTGACAGCTGAACCAATTGACTTCGAGATCTTATCGACTTGATCTATAAATTTTAAATCCGCATCAATTATGCATCCCAGGTATGTGAGTTCATTACATTGTTTTATTAAGTTTCCACTCAGTAAGTCATTCAGTTCATCAAATTTGATGTTGCCAGTAACCATGTATTTCGACTTGACAAGATTCACTTTGAGTAAATTCGACTCATAATATTCCATAATTGTCTCAAGATCTGACTGTAAGTTATTAGCATTGAGTTGAGGATTATCTTTTTCAAGTGTCAGGATCATTATTATGTCGTCGGCATATTTTAGTAATTTCGAGTTCATAGTAAGGCCAGAAATATCATTTATCATTAGATTGAATAAAAGAGGTCCTAAATTCGATCCTTGAGGAACTCCAAGGTCTACAATTGCGGGTGAGCTGAATGACTGGTCAATTTTTACACTTTGCTTCCTATTTGTTAAAAAGCTGCAAATCACATCGTATGATAGACCTCTTATCCCCAGAAAATTTAGTTTCCTCAGCAATATTCTATGATCAACTGAATCGAAGGCTTTGGATATATCTAGCGATATCACCAAAGCATTTTTTCCACTCTCTATTATATTACTAATATGACTCAACATCATACATACTGCCTCGTTACATCCTCGACCCTGCCTGAAGCCGTATTGTAGAGGATCGAATATTCTACGACTCTCTAGGTATCTAGTTAGTTGATTGTATAGAATCGCTTCAAAGATCTTGTCTATGAGAGGAAGGAGACTGATAGGTCTGTAATTGATGCAGTCAAGTGGATCGCCACCTTTATGTATTGGAGTTACAGACGATTGCTTTAGTCTTTCTGGATAAGTTCCTGAGGTAACCATCAAATTGAATATGTTTGCTAAATGAGGCGAAATTTCGTCCATGCAGCATTTTAAAGTTTTAGCACTTATTCCGTCATATCCACAAGACTTGTTTTCGTTTAGGAGGGCAATATGGTGTGTGATTGTGTCTGGAGAGATTTCCTCAAAGCAAAATGTTTTGTCTATTGATTTTCCAATGTATTTATGGGAGACTATTGAAGAACGTCCTGTTCTGCTAGGGCCTGTGAATTTCTTTTGAAATGCATTGGCAATTTCAACTGGATCTGAAAGATGTTTATCCTCATCATCTCTTACTATCATTACTTTATTTCTTTTAGATCTGCCAGTCAAGTCATTAATTATCTTCCACGCATGGCTAATATTTTTAAGTCGCAGCTTCCGATAATAAGATTTGGCTTTTACATTTCCATACTGTTCAAAAATATCATTTAGTTCATTATATTTTTTCACTAGATTACTACGAGGTAAACTCATACTTTTCCTTATGTCTATTTTTTCTTCTAGATTATGAAGCGTACGAAGCATTTCTTTATAACGATCATCAGCCCAAACAGGAAGAGAATTTATTTGCGATGGTAGCTTAATATTGTTGATGGAAGTAGAATCATCAATGGCTTTAATCAAATTATCATGCACAACATTAAAGTAGGAGTTGACATCTTCAGGATTGATTTCATGACAAGATAAGTTGTGTTGAAATTTGGATATAAGCATATCATAATCTAACGTCTTCTTTTTTAATCTTTTTCTCTTTTTAGGTGATGTGTCATCCAGCTGTAGCAGCAACATTAAGAAATTATGGTCTGATACCATTTGAATCCTTTTTGATGTTAATGCAAGGATATTTTTGTGCGACGTGCTTAATATTGCATGATCAATTAGAGTTCCTTCAGCACCAAAGAAGCTGTTTCTAGTCGGAGCTGAGTTAATAATGGAGAGATTTAATGATTCCAGTGTATCAGTGTATGTTTTGACTCGAGTGTCACATTTATTTAGGATGTTAAGATTCATGTCACCTATTATAATTAGGTTCTCTCTGCATGTTTTTAGAATAAGCTCTTCCAATGAGTCTAAAAATGCATCAAGACTTCCATTTGGGCGATACAAAAGTAAAATATGGAACTCATTGTTTAAGGTGAACAGCTTCAAAAGAATAAATTCAATGTCATCATTTACGCCGCTCTCAACTATAACTGATTGATATTTTTTATGAACAAACAGCAAGAGTCCACCACCTTTCTTTCCCATTTTTCTATTTGCATGAACTGCATTATAATTTTTAATGTTGTACGTGTTAAATTTGGTTTCATCTTGTAGCCATGTTTCTGTAAGTCCAATTATATCTATAAAGTAATTCTTTTTTTCTCCAAGGCAATTAATTAGATTATCATTTTCAGATACCGCTGTTCTCGTCCACTCATCCAGATAATGTTTTATAATATTTAATTTATTGTGTGTCAAGCATCGAACATTCCATGATAGCATATTCAGCAGAGGTTTATCTTTGGGATTCATTTGAGCGCAGTCTTGGATTATTTTGTTAATTTGTAGGTGAGTAAAATTTGAATTTAATGAATCTTTTTGAATATTTGTAAACAAGTTATTCGAATAATTTTCCAAGATTGATTTATTAATTATTGTATTTTTAGAATGCTTGCTTACATTAATGTTCATGTTGCTGCTGTTTGAGATATTATTTGATGCGGTAGACTGGGATTTCTGAGTGGACGACGTTGATTGTCAATATGCAGAGCTAGTAGCCCCATCTTGTGTCAAAGGATCGTTTGCATTATTGTCAGTTGGTGATTTGATAGAACTTCTGTACGAGTTTCTTTCATCATAATGCATTTTAAAATAATTTCCATCATACAATTGGAATGTTGGAATATTTAGACCAATGTCATTGACATCAACTCTCAGTTCATCCAGATCGCCTTCAGTTCTAATCAATGTCTTAAAATTTCTCTCTTCCTCAGCACCATTTTGATCAATTATTATTTTTTTTTTGTAAAATACCTGTATTCCTGCATCACATACTGAAGCTTTGTCAATCAGTTTAATGCGCGATAGATCGTAACAAACTCGAAGTAATTTCCATACCTCAGAACTCCAGTTATCTCTAATTATATATCGAATCGCATCGAAATTCTTAGAGATGAATTGTGTTTTCGCATATTGGACGGCAAGTCGTTTAATGTCACGAGCTGCAAAGGAATTTAGAAATTTTATTCCCATAATCATTTCATTCTCAAAGCCACTGTCAGTTCTTAAAGAGATTTTTTGTGTAAAGACATCAACTATCGTCCTGTTGCTTCCGTTATTCCAAATATTCATTCTCGTGAGTATTTTAACAGCTTCGCGTATTAGTTCAGACTTGGTTTTGATTCTTAGTGAGTCAATTTCATTTGAATCAGCGAAACTTAACCAAACGATATTAGTTTCAACCGAATTTCAAAAATTAAAACAAAAAATAAAAAAAAATTCATAAAAAATAAAAATGTTTAAAAAATTCAAAAATCAATTTAAAAAAAACCGTTAATTCCAGAGTTGCTTCCTAATTTTTAAAATTCAACCCGGCTCAGAAACTTGTCATCCGCATCCAACTTCACGTTTATTTACAACTCTAAGTTACAAAAAAATTTCAAACAAAATAGTCAAGAAATGGAATTATTGCTGCAATTTTTGATAGTTACAAGCTCTGGAATAGCAATTAATGGCCACAATAACTACGATAAGGAGAATAAGGAGCCACAGAACAGTTATAATCCGCTTGGAGCATTAGTAAGGTTGGTTAAATGTGAAAATAATGGAACTTAATGTTCAAAACAATGAATTTTGTCAAATTAAATTATTTTAAATCCTCAAAAAAAAAACGCTAAAGAAAACTTTTTAAAAAACACGCTTTTATCAAAAAGACTAAAAATCAAAAAGTTCAAAATAAAATAAGGTCACACTTTTAGCGAATCAGGATTTTAAAAATTCTCTTGTGACAACTTGAAATGTAACATAAATTTTTTTCAAAATATTGTGATTAAGTCCAAGAACACAATGACTCTATAAGCGTGGGGCGTAATTTAAGGATGCATTTCTTAGTTCAACTAAGTTCTTAAGTAAGAGAAGCGTCAAATCTCAAAGCCCCACGCTTTTCGAGTCATTGTGTTCTTGGACTTAATCACAATATTTTGAAAAAAATTTATGTTACATTTCAAGTTGTCACAAGAAAATTTTTAAAATCCTGATTCGCTAAAAGTGTGACCTTATTTTATTTTGAACTTTTTGATTTTTAGTCTTTTTGATAAAAGCGTGTTTTTTAAAAAGTTTTTTTTAGCGTTTTTTTAATTGCTCCTTTTTTGGTCGCTTGGTTTTTAATCTTAACAACAGATTTAACTTTAAGAAAAAAATATTATTTGTTTTTTAAGTCTTCGGGAAAAAAGCGTGTTTTTTAAAAAGTTTTTTTAACGTTTTTTTATTTGCTACTTTTTAGTCTCAATCTTTTAATCGAATTTCGACCACAACAATTCAAATTCAACTCCACTTCGTTTCGTTCAACTTTTAATATATTCCCATTTTTTTTAATGGGTAATTAGTAACGACCGTCAGGATTTTTCATTCGTTTTTATAATTTAAGTCATACCTGGAAACACATAAAACTCTTCCAAAAAATGTCCTGAACTTCAATTATTTGCGTTTTCTGTGTTTTTTAAAACATTCATGAGTAAAGAACATTAAAAATCAATCGTAAAGATTTTGTGTTTATCCGTACCATTCCTATTACATAACGTGTGGATTCTTAACATAAAGATGCAAATCACATCTATATGTAACGTATTTATAACGGATTTTTCAAATTTAAATTCAATGAATGTCATTCATATGTTATGCAAAATTACGTTAAGCCGATAATAAATAGAAGTCAATTTAATTAAATTGGTGAAGTGCTATAAATATTGTAATACATTTAAAACAGCATCCGTTTATGCTCAAATTATGTGTGCTAAATGCACATCACATATTGATAGTTATTTTGCATTAATTCGTAACGGACTTGTGATTAACGGTTTTTTTGAAAATTCAAATTTTCACTTACGGATATTCATGAAAAAATTACTTGTCAATTTTTTCATCCTCCCAGAAAATCTTCAGCTTCTCCAATTATTAGTATTATTAATAATTAGTAATATTAATTAAACTATAGTGAATCATATAAATGACTTTTGAGCATTTCAAGTATAATATTTTAAACAAATCAAAATTTTATATCATTGACATTGGATTTTTTTCCCATATAAAAAAGTTTTATTAAAATTGTACTATAATTAAGCATTTGTGTGGTTCTAAAGTGTTAAAATATTGTATTGTCACCGGGAATACGTGTGTATACAAAATTTGAGCTCGATTGGAGCAATAGAAGTGGTCGAAAAATCGATTGCAAGATTTGAACGTGACATACAAAGAAACCAACAGAGCAACTCAATAAAAAGCGTGTAAAAATTCCAAAATCCTCAAAACTTATCAATCCTCAAAACTCAAAAATTCCTCCCCAACTTCCAGATGCAACATGCTCCCACTAGACTTCCTCGATTGCGCTGAACTCAAAGACCACAAAGGCAATCGTACAGCACAAGAAGAGTCTGGTCTAGGGTGCGTAAAATTCGGTGGAACTTTATGGCATGAAGTCGAACGTGGCAAACGAGAATGTACAGTTCTAGGCGAGATTGAATGTCATGGATCAAGAACATTTAAACGTGATGGATTTGCTTGTGTCAGACCCAGTGGACACTACTTCTTGACGACACTGCTGTACAGCATTTTACTTGGATTTTTGGGTATGGATCGATTTTGTTTAGGACAGACTGGAGTGGCAGTGATGAAGTTGCTGTCGATTGGTGGACTTGGACTTTGGTGGATTATTGACATATTTTTGTTGGTGACGAATAATTTGACGCCTGAGGATAACTGGAATCAGTATGTGTGATAGGAAGATGGACTGAAGATTACAGTTGATTTAAGGTAGTTTAGCTGAAGGGATGTTCATTTATAACGTCCAAGGGGGAGGAGGGAGTCAGCAAGAAAATGACCGTTAATTTTGGGCGTTATAAGTGAACGACCCCTGACTCTAATGTTTTCTTCTTTATTATCTTCCAAAAGGGGTCATTCGTAAATGACGTTTTTGAGATTTTTAAACAAAATCTTTTACAATATTTCATTTAAAAGCTTTTTTTGGGTATGGAAATGTCAAAAAGCGTCGTATTCCCATCAAAACTTAGAACATCATTTATGAACGACCCCAAATCTGATTAATTATTATTGTAACTCGAGAAGTGCTGTGTATTAATTTAAATAATAATAAAAAAATATTACGATTAGAAATTAGAAACCAAATTTCAACTACGCTTTGCTTTTGTGCCTTATTTTTTATTTTATAGAACAATTTGTATCCAAAAGCATGGAATTGATCGAAATGGACACACAAAAATCATTCCTCTTATTTTTAAAGCTTATTGAAATGCTGTTAAACTTGAGTTTTGCCTAAAAATTGATTAAATTGCAGACGTGCTCAACCTCTCCTCACCCCCCCCCCCCCCCCCCCCTCCCCACCTCCACTTTACTCAGCTGCGCCCCCATCATTTGAGTCTCAAAGCTCTTCACACCTCAACATTAATACGTAGCTTCACAATCGTCACTACCAACCTATTAGATAAAATACTAAATCCTCAAATATTTACTATCTCACCTGAGTCAACACAGCATGGCTGTTTTATATTCTCACAACAACACAACATCACAAAAAAGCACCTCAATATCCAGTAACGCTCAGTGTGACGACGGAAAACATTCAGAATGAAGCTAATTATTATTTTACTGCTGCTTACAATTGCTTCGACTCGTGCCAGGCGTTACCTTAAATGTGGACCTGTTGATGCAAAATGTCTGCCTGCAAATAATGACTTAACATGTCCACAAATTCCATTTTGTCCAACTGGATTGAAACGCAAATTGACATCAAAAGGATGCTGTTGTGTGCTGAGGGACTCGTTTAGAGGCAAAACAGGTACAAAAAAAATTTGGATTAAGTTTTAACGGATTTTTAATTTTTGAATTTTTTACAGTCGTTCCTGAAACAGTTTCTAAGGAGAAAGCTAAAATTTCATCAAAAACTCTCAAAAATCTTCAAAATTTCTACACCAAAATTACAGACTTGATGGATGTTGAGTCACAAGAAATGGAAGTGGAACAAAAACAGCTGCTGATCAAGAAACTCTCAAAAAACATGAGCGACACAATGAAGTCAGCAATAAAGGAACTTGCAGCACTCATCGATGTTGACTCGGAAATTATTTTTAAATGCATTTTTGATGACGTCAAAATTTTTGAAAATAAAAAAATTAATTTAATTATTGACGCTGCAAATGAGATTTATGAGAAAGGAAATGAGCTGATGGAGAGGATTTCGATGGTTATGGAGAGGATGGAATACTACTGAGAGGCACTGGAGCATCAGTTGATTAAGTTTTGGAGGTTTCTAGGACACTGGGATGCTAGGATTGGGTCATAGTCACTAAAGAGGTGGAGTTGGGGCTAATTTTGATTATTTTTGGAAATAAAATGTAAAATAAATTTTATTGACTACAAAAATTTTAGGACAAATTAAACAAAAAAATTGAAATTATAAAAATTAAGAAAAATCGATTAAAAGTTAAAAGTGTCGAATAAAATCAAAATATTCAGAAGAAATCATTATCAAACGAGAAAGAAAAGTCGCACGACATCCAATCGTCAGCTATAAAGAAAAAAGAATTAGGCAATGAAGTTCTCAAGTTTCTTGTATAAATAATCAAAAATGGATCCAATTGTTGTGAATAATGAATGAAAAATCAGGTCATTGATGATTAAAGGAATTTTAATTTACATTTTTTGACTTAATTTTAGACTTTTTGAAAGAAAATTCAGCAAAAATATGACAAAATGGACTTAAAATAATTTTACAGAGCAAGGCAGTAGTGAGCAAAGCTGTCATTTGCCAATGGAAGCTAAGAACTGCAGCCTGACATGTCATAGAACATTGTTGTTTCAATTCATGGTCAAAGGTTCGAGTGCAGATTTTTTTTATATTTTTTTCTTAATTTTTGCAACCTTTTTAACCTGAAATTATTTTATTTACAAATTCTTAGAATTCCAAAAAATTCCGTTCCAAATGTTTAGTAAAAGGGAAGCAAAAACCTAATTTTTGAGGTTAAAACCAGAAGCGTACCCACCTGCCCCCCCCCCCCCCCCCTTGCTCGTTTGCACCAGTTAAGGTTCATTCAGCTCTTTAAAAATATTTTAACTGCAAGTTTTGAAGACCAACTATCACCAAATTCTCCTTATATCACTCCAAAGTCCACAAAAGGTTTCAAATCCATCAAAGTGATCAAAAATGAATAAAACCTAATTTATCATTTACGCACTTTTTGAGTCCACAATCACTAAGAATTCACAACTTACACAAATTTTTACAGAAGCTGGTCAACTCATCAAGTTCATCGCTGTTCCGTCCAATTTCAGACTTTTGAGTTGACTTCTTGACTGACTGAAATGGCGGCAATTGTTCATCACAATCGTCATCATCTTGAAATTCATAAACATTTTTCAGCTCACTTTTTGTTTCAGACATTAAATTGTCATCAAATTCAAGCTTTTTATTCCCAATTGCACCGAAATTTCCAAAAAATTTCTCATCATCATCCTTAATTTTATCAATTTTCTGAACATTTTTAAACCCTTCTTGCTCCCTTTGGCACTTCCTTTCATCAACTGACAACATATTCGCATATTCCTGAATTTTACACTTTTGACAGCTACAAAACTTATATTTGCAGTTCCTTTTGTGTCCACGAATCTCAAATTTATATCCATGATTGCGGCAATGTCCACAGAATCTTTTGTGCTTCTGCTTCTGATCACTTTTGGCTTGAGACATGTTGAATGGCTGTTGGAATGAAGACGACTGGCTTAGAAGTTCGTTTTTTTGGAATGTGCGTAGTTGGAATTAAGCTTAAGTCAGCATTAATAGTATGGGAGGTCATTGAGCATAGATTTTGTTTACTTTTTGTGGTTTTATAGCTTTTTGAGATTGTTTAATGCTTAGTTCCGCGGCTGAGGCTCAGGAATTTGCTTTTAGTCACCAAAAGCTGAAGCTACAACTTAACAACAACTCTAGAAACCCTCAATTAGTAGCTAAATGCCTTAAAAAAGACAAATTCAACAAAATAATTCAAAAAATAATTTAACGGTTTTTTAAAATTCAAATCATTTGCTCACTTTAAAGCTAAACATTGAGCAACAGTTGCTATGTTGTTGTTTACATTTAGGAACATTTATTTTCTGTGTAAAAAGTTTATTGTTGAGATTTTTTTTAACGTACTTTAGGTAAATCTATAAAATTCATTTAATACGCAATTAAGGCATTCACAGAACCACAATAGATCCACAGAATAATCAACAATAATTCCAATAATTTTAGGTAATTTAAATTCCAAAAAAAGCCACAAATAATGGAAGAATCATCACAAGTTGATGACCAAAATCATCAACAAATCTCCGAAGTCCTCATTCACATCCCAATGGAGACATCCGACGATAATTTAAAAGAAGAGCATCTTGTCGATGACCAAAGTGAGATCCACGAGGAGCTCGAGATCGTCAAACTCGAACCAAAAAGTGCAAAAAAGCGCGTCAGTCTGACAATCGAGAAGAAAATTGAAATCATCAACAGGCACGAGAAAGGCGAAACTCAACGGTCGCTGGCACAAGAATTTAATGTCGGACGTACAACAATCTGTGACATTCTTAAACGGAAGTACAAATTTTTTAAATTCATGTCCATGAATGCCGACAAAACTGAGAATCTTAAGAGACGGAGGACATTAAGGAGGACGGTCCATAAAGAATTAGAGAATAAGCTACTTGAATGGTACAATGAGATCCGTGAGCGTGGAAGTTTTGTGTCTGGTCCGATGATTGCACAAAAGGCAACTGAATTTCACAAGGAACTTGGATACACTGACAACTTTAGTGCAAGCAACGGTTGGCTTGACAGATTTAAAGTCCGAAATGGAATAAAACTTTGTGGATTGCGGGAAGTTAGGACAGAAAGTGATGAAAATGCAGTTGGACCATTCAAATCGGAACTAGAGTCATTAGCACAATGGTATAATTTGTCACTAGAGCAGGTCTACAATGCTGACGAGACAGACTTGTTCTGGAAAATGCTGCCAAATCCTGAGAGTGACTTGAATGAAGTCAAAGCTAGTGTCAGAGCTTATCGTGAGAGAATGACTGTCTTGTGCTGTTCAAATGCTACTGGAAGTCACAAGCTGCCTTTGGTCTGTATTGGAAGGGGCAAGAAGTCGAGGACATTTACATCACATGAGATTAAAATGATGCCAGTCAGCTATTATTCACAAGAGACTGCCTGGATGGACAATGAGATTTTTAAGAATTGGTTCCATTCGCAGTTTGTACCGTCAGTGAGAGAGCACCTTAGGTCTATTGGACTTCCAGAGACAGCAATATTATTAATCGATAGAAATCCATCACATCCAAATGATCAGCACCTTCGGTCCGAAGACAATTTCTTCTTTGTTCAATATTTCCCGCCAAAAGTTAAGGCACTAGTTCAGCCAATGGAGCAAGGATTAATTAGAGATATGAAGCTACACTATAGGTATGAGCTGCTTATTGAGCTTATTAATAAGAACCTGTCCATAAATGACTTCCATAAGCAATTGTCAATAAAAGATGCAATCAGGCTTATAGCTGACAGCTGGAATGCAATAACACCTGAAAATGTCCAGCGATGCTTCTCGAAGATCTTTCCACTGCCTGATGGACATCAATCCTTTGAATCTACAGTTCCAACAGCTGATAACTTTATGGATCTGATTAAAAAGATTCCAGAATGTGAAATGAATGGATACTCGAGGGACAGACTGGAAGTTTGGATTAATTGTGATGAAGCGGAACCGAAGAAGGATTGCAATGCATTCTATGGACATAATCCAGATGAGTCTATAGTCACAGTCAGCAAGGAGGATCAAGAAAGTGTCAAAGTTTTCGAAAGTTTTTCTGAGGAAATTCCACAAACAATAGAAATCATTACAACAGCTGAATTACAGCAATCGACAGCTGGGAACTTAATATCTGATGATGACATCTTGCATGATGATGAAGAAGTTGTGCTGCTGTCACAAACGCATGACGAGGAGGTTCAATTTGAGCGGGAAATATCCGAAGATAATATTTTGTATGAAGAAACTGAAAATGACGTCACATGCAAGCAAGCTTTAGATGCACTTGGGACAGTCTTGAGATTTATGAAGAATGATTCTGAAAGTCGGTATCGAGATGTCGTGTTCCTGAGTGAGCTGAAGAAGAAGCTTAGGAAAAGATTTCATGAGGTTGATGGGAAATAGATTTTTAAGGTTGGAATTGAAAATCAAATAAAAATGTTGAAACTTTTTTTTAAAAAATAAGTTTTTTGTCATGTTTTATTATTTTAAAGTCAAGCTCACATCTACAGGTCATCAGCACTGATCATACCTTTGTATCCAAATGTTTCATCAAATTTCTCATAAGCCGTGTGATTGACATATGCAAATATCCATTTTTGGTTGATGTCTCCGTTGCATTCCTTGAGATTGATTGTTGAATTTTGGAGGTCTATTGTAATGCAATCTGATGCATCTGGCCGGTTATCGGGAATTCTTAATAGTTCTTGAGTTTCCTGGAAATACAATTTTAACTAATGCTCATCTTTAACTGGAAAAGAGCTTTAAATGAACTTCAGCTTTGACTTAAGCTCAGCTTTAACTAAGCTCAGCTTCAACTAAAGTTCAGCTTTAACTAACCTCCGCTTCAAATAAAGCTCAGCTTCAACTAAAGTTCAGCTTCAATTAAAGTTCAGCTTCAACTAAAACTCAGCTTCAACTAAAGCTCAGCTTCAACTAAAGCTCAGCTTCAACTAAAGCTCAGCTTCAACTTAAACTCAGCTTCAACTAAAGCTCAGCTTCAACTAAAGCTCAGCTTCAACTAAAGCTGAGCTTTAACTAAAGCCCAGCTTCAACTAAAGCTCAGCTTTAACTAAGCTCAGTTTTAACTAAAGCTCAGCTTCAACTAAAGCTCAGCTTCAACTTAAACTCAGCTTCAACTAAAGCTCAGCTTCAACTTAAACTCAGCTTCAACTAAAGCTCAGCTTTAACTAAAGCTCAGCTTCAACTAAAACTCAGCTTTAACTAAAGCTCAGCTTCAACTAAAACTCAGCTTTAACTAAGCTCAGCTTCAACTAAAGCTTAGCTTCAAATAAAGCTCAGCTTCAATTTAAACTCAGCTTCAACTAAAGCTCAGCTTCAACTAAAGCTCAGCTTCAACTAAAGCTCAGCTTCAACTAAATTTTAGCTTCAACTTAAACTCAGCTTCAACTAAAGCTCAGCTTCGACTAAAGCTCAGCTTGGACTAAAGCTCAGCTTCGACTAAAGCTCAGCTTCGACTAAAGCTCAGCTTCGACTAAAGCTCAGCTTCAACTTAGGCTCAGCTTTAACTAAGCCCATTTTTTTCTAAAGTTCAGCTTCAACTAAAGCTCAGCTTTAACTAGACTCAGCTCCATTCAATTATCTAATTCGTACTTACCCTCTTATAATTCCACACCTGATTGCCAGTTTCAACCTCATTGCACTCATACAAATTCAAGTTATAAGCATCCAGGCAGTAACTATGTTGATCGACGTTTTGTCTTAAATCCTTAAAGAATGTAAATCTAAAATTCTGATTGTTTCCAGGTTCTGTCAAGTCATTGCTGCATTCGTAAATACCAATTCTTTCGTCAAAAAGTTTTCCTAAGTTGTCTAGACACATTCTGGGATTTGCTACACTTTGAATAGCTCCACTGGCAAAAACTTGATCATAATTTATTGGAGGATATGCTGCGACCATGTCTGGTGCGATGTTTTTAAGGAACCAACGGTAAGATTTACATTCAAGTCGTTCACGAATTTGCTTTGGCTTTGTCAAGTCACCTGGATCTAGATTATTAAACCGATTTGGCTCACGTTGATACAACAAAGTCTTAAACTCATCCAGCCACACCTCAGCAAGTCTTTTAAAGTTTCTTGCTACAAAATCTTCTTTATTCTTTCTGGATGGATTTATGTCTCGAAATGAGTGAGAAATTCTTGAGCATGGAACTGTAAACAGACCATCTCGACACATCCACAGTTTGAAGCTTAATTCATAATTCTCGCCATTCCAAATTTTCATTTCTTCGTCATATCCACCAAGTTCCTCAACGAAGTATTTCCTGTCAATTGCAAATCCACAACCGAGCATGATTGGATTTGGAAATGGCCTTATAGGATTTTCAAGATCATCTTTAAGTTTAGGAAGTTCATAGTAATTCAAATGCCAGTCAATGACTCCTCGAAAGCCTTGATTTTCTCCCTGTCCTGGATAATGTTCAAATGTACGACAGTCGAAGTAATCAGGAATTGGCATTGTAGCTAGTTTCCTGTTTTCTGCTATAGGTTGAAGGAGTGGCGGTAACCAGTTGTTCTGAACTTCAATATGTGAGTCGAAAAATACGAGAACTTCTCCTGTTGCTGTTCTGGCTCCTTCCATTCTTGCTACGATGAGGCCGCTTCTCGTTGGGAGCTTTTTGATTTTAATCTAGAAATATGAATGGTGTTAATTAATCAGCTTCTATTAAGTTTAGGTGTTTTATTGATCAGCTGAAACAACGCTCAGCTTTAACAATTCTCAGCTTCAACAACGCTCAGCTTAAACAATTGTCAGCTCCAACAACGCTCAGCTTTAACAATTCTCAGCTTCAACAACGCTCAGCTTAAACAATTGTCAGCTCCAACAACGCTCAGCTTAAACAATGCTCAGCTTCAACAACACTCAGCTGTAACAATGTTCAGCTTCAACAACACTCAGCTATAACAACGCTCAGCCTTAACTGAATTAAGCTAAAACTACACTTATCTTTAAATAGGTTCAGCTTTAACAACGCTCAGCTATAACAACGCTCAGCCTTAACAACGCTCAGCTTCAGCTTCCAAAAACTCACCAAATTCCTTGGAAAGTTCTCATTCAAATAATTCCTAAGTGTTTCCCCAAGTTCTTCCTCAGTACTGTCATCATTCACTAATATAATCTCATGCAGCAACTCCTTTGGTGTTCTATTATAAACACTATGCACAGTCCTTAACAAAACACTCAAAACTTCATTATAAAATATTATTATAACTGAAGTCTTTGGCAGGTCAGCAAAGTATTTTTTATAAAGACAATCTGGATGTACAAATTTTGGGATTGTCCGGTTCACAGATATTTTATCAGACACAAGCACACTAAAACCAGTTCTTTCGATTGATTCTTGATTTAATTTTATTTCTTCGGGTTCTGCCAATGTTACAGCTTCACCACGTTCACCAGGACCGATTCTTGTCTCTTCATATGCCAAATATTTGTAGTCATTCCAATCACGATAAGTTTCAACGCCAGATTGCTTGGAATTAATGAAATTATTAAATGGACGGTTGGCAATGCCAAACACTATTATGTAAATTAGATAAATGACGAAGAGAAACAAAAATAAAATTAAAAATCGACGATTTATTTTGATTTGCATCTTCGTGTGACTAGATGAGTATTATGACTGACTGAGATCAACAATTGAGGATATTTAGAGATGTTGAGAGGCAATAAGAGAGAAGAAGATGAGTTTTGAGTAATGTCGCATAGATAAAAGGTAAAGTCGGTAAACAGCTGATTCTAGTGTTGATGGTGAAATATCGACGACCTTGAATATTTTGGTGGTAAAAATCAAATGCTGATATTTTTGGTAAAGGTCAAAGTTGAAATAGAATTTATTTTTGTGACTTAATTATTTTTTATTTTACAGTTATTTAAACTTTTCCAAATAATTACAAAAAAAAAGTTTAAAAATATTTTATCCAAATGAATCCTTGAAGTTTCCTCGATAAGCTCCTGTGAAGGTGCAATTAGAAGCTATAGGACCATTCTCCTTTATGTACAAATTAATAGTGAGCTTATATTCGCCAGAACTGAACTCTGATAGAAATGACTGAATTGGGAGTGTAAAGTTCATGAGTTTTAGGTTCTGAAATTATAAACAACTTTGTTAGAAGGAAATACACGAGACACAAGAGACACAAGCGACACAAGAGACACAAGAGAAACAAGAGACACAAGAGACACAAGAGAAACAAGAGAAACAAGAGACACAAGAGACACAAGCGACACAAGAGACACAAAAAGACAAGATACAACAGGAGACACAAGCGACACAAGAGACACAAGCAACACAAGCGACACAAGAGACACAAGAGACACAAGCGACAATAGAGAAACAAGAGACACAAGAGACACAAGAGAAACAAGAGAAACAAGAGACACAAGAGACACAAGCGACACAAGAGACACAAGAGACACAAGAGACACAAGCGACACAAGCGACACAAGAGGCATAAGCGACACAAGAGACCCAAAAAAAAGACAAGATACAACAGGAGACACAAGCGACACAAGCGACACTAGAGACACAAGCAAAACAAGAGACACAAGCAACATAAGCGACACAAGTGACACAAGAGACATAAGAGACACAAGAGACACAAGCGACACGAGCGACACAAGAGACATAAGCGACACAAGAGACACAAAAAGACAAGATACAACAGGAGACACAAGAGACACAAGAGACACAAGCGACAATAGAGAAACAAGAGACACAAGAGACACAAGAGAAACAAGAGAAACAAGAGACACAAGAGACACAAGCGACACAAGAGACACAAGAGACACAAGCGACACAAGCGACACAAGAGGCATAAGCGACACAAGAGACCCAAAAAAAGACAAGATACAACAGGAGACACAAGCGACACAAGCGACACTAGAGACACAAGCAAAACAAGAGACACAAGCAACATAAGCGACACAAGTGACACAAGAGACATAAGAGACACAAGAGACACAAGCGACACGAGCGACACAAGAGACATAAGCGACACAAGAGACACAAAAAGACAAGATACAACAGGAGACACAAGCGACACAAGAGACACTAGAGACACAAGCAAAACAAGAGACACAAGCGACACAAGAGAAACAAGAGACACAAGAGACACAAGCGACACAAGAGACATGAGCGACACAAGAGACACAAAAAAGACAAGATACAACAGGAGACATAAGCGACACAAGAGACACAAGCAACACAAGAGACACAAACGACAATAGAGACACAAGCGACACAAGAGAAACAAGAGACACAAGAGACACAAGCGACACAAGAGACATAAGCGACACAAGAGACACAAAAAAAGACAAGATACAACAGGAGACACAAACGACACAAGCGACACTAGAGACACAAGCAACACAAGCAACACAGAGACATAAGCGACACAAGAGACACAAAAAAGACAAGATACAACAGGAGACACAAGCGACACAAGCGACACAAGAGACACAAGCAACACAAGAGACATAAGAGACACAAGAGACACAAGCGACACGAGCGACACAAGAGACATAAGCGACACAAGAGACACAAAAAGACAAGATACAACAGGAGACACAAGAGACACAAGAGACACAAGCGACAATAGAGAAACAAGCGACACAAGAGAAACAAGAGACACAAGAGAAACAAGAGACACAAGCGACACAAGAGAAACAAGAGACACAAGCGACACAAGAGACACAAGAGAAACAAGAGACACAAGAGACACAAGAGAAACAAGCGACACAAGAGAAACAAGAGACACAAGAGAAACAAGAGAAACAAGAGACACAAGAGACATAAGAGACACAAAAGAAACAAGCGACACAAGAGACACAAGAGAAACAAGAGACACAAGAGAAACAAGAGAAACAAGAGACACAAGAGACATAAGAGACACAAGCGACACAAGCAACACAAGAGACACAAGCAACACAAGAGACACAAGCAACACAAGCGACACAAGCGGCACAAGTGACACAGGAGACATAAGAGACACAAGAGACACAAGAGACTTAAGCGACACAAGAGACACAAAAAAGACAAGATACAACAGGAGACACAAGCGACACAAGCGACACAAGTGACACAAGAGACACAAGAGACACTAGAGACACAAGCAACACAAGAGACACAAGAGACAGACATACAGACACACAGACACATAGTCACAAGAACTTACATAAAATGGACAGTCATGGATGAGGTCTGGTGCAGCAGTTTTAAGAATTAAATAAATTTGTTTTGCAAAAATGTTGTCCTTCATGAGAGTCATCAAATTGCAGTAGTCAATCTTGGGAAATTTCAGTACTTGACGATAAATGGTTCCATATTTGTAGAAGAATATGCACTCAATCTGCAAATTAAATTGTTAAAATTTGAAGATAATAAAAAAAGATTAAAAAACCTACAAAAATTTTATAAAGTGGCTTAATTAAGGTAAAGTCAGCATTTATAGTTGACATATTTCGACTCCAATTTTTCGCATAGCACGTCCAATTTTTATAAACGTATTCATCAGCGTACCATGGCTCGAGTAAACATTTACAATTTAGAAATTTAAAGTCAATTGTTGGAGTTAGCGATCTTTTAGATTCAATGCTAGCCAAAAATAGTAAATTAATTGGAAAAATGATCAAAATATTCATGCTGTTGAGTCAATTGTAAGTAAATTTGTGACTGTAATCATTTTTTTTATGGTTTATTTTTTTAAAAAATTTTATAATTACAGAACAATTTTGTAATTTTCCTGAAATTGAGAAAATAATATAAATGCAGCCAAATGATTCCCGAACACGTGCTTAACATCCAATTCCCAATTCGATCTCAAACCATTCTCATGTACCGCTGTGCAAAGTACAAGTCAGTGAGCATTGGCGTAAAGCTATCATAACTGGAGCATTTCTCATTAATCGTTGCAATTGCTGTAGCGAAGTTTGATTGTGATTGAATGCTGACACATCCAGCATTGTCCATCATGAGGAAGCTCAAGTTCCTTGTAATTCCATCAAAGATTTTACTGTGAATGAATCTAAAATGATTCCTTTCCATGGCAATTCCTTTAATTCTTGGATTTCCAATCAGCAAGTCCTTCTCAAGAACTTCAATCAAATTTCCACTAAAGTACAAATATTCAACATTTGGGTACGGCATCAAGTCCTCACGACGAAGTTCAATCAACCTCGAGTCTTCAACAGCCAGAACACGAAGATTTTTAAAGAATTTCTCAGCATGTTTTGGGACATAATGGAATCTCGTGTTGAGCGTATAAAATCCAGTGACTTGATCATTTGTCATGCCTGTCAAGTGAGTTCCACTAACATCATCAACATAACGATCTTCACGGGTATAGACGATGCTCTTTTCATCACGACAGATGTAGAATTGATCAGTAATCCAGTGAAAGCCTTGAGTACGGAATGAACATTGTACTGTGTAAGCTGATGATGGACTGATGATGAAGAGACAGGATGTGATGAATGTGATGAGGATTGAGTGCCTGAAATGATGATTTTGATTAGTTCTTTGATAAAGGAGTTGGTAGGACAATAAGGTTCAACCTCAACTTAGGCAATAGAGAACCCGAAAGGCACCAGTCGGTTAATTGATCATAAATCAGGCACAAAGCTGGTGTGACTCTGGCATGGTACTGGATTTAAATCGAAGCCAGCACCTTGCCAGAGTCATGACGGCTGGGCGCCAGATTTCTATTCGATTAACCGATTTGTGCTATTCGGGGAAGAGACAAAACTTTTTTGCTTTCTTAACAATTCTGTTCCAACTATGCTGTTCTGGCAAGTATGCTTTCTGGATTTCTCGGTCTCGACTAATTCTCGAGACCGAGACTGAGGCCGAGACCGAGACCGAAGACTCAAGACTTCCCAGGAAATCTCGGCCTCAACTTCGGTATCAAGAAAGCATACTGGCAAGCATTATCGATTGATGTAACTGCCGAAAGCTTCAAAAAAATGCAATATTAAACTTACCTCATTGTCAAGTTCCAATGGTAGTTCCAGCAAAGCTTCCAATTATTAGAAATGTTTTCCTGAGATGAGTTTTCACAAAACTAACGACAACCTGATACTCAGCCTCAATTTTATACTTTGAAAAGTACTCAATTTTAATGTTTCAAAGTGGGAAGAAGTTTCAAGTTCATTTACATTTAAAGGATTGCATCTAATTGCTTTATTTTTCACTGATAATGAAAATTCTTAATCAGCTAATAATTGTGAAGTTCAGTGACTGTCCTAGATTTACTGTAATCAGGATGTCCATCGGTTTTTGCTGATTTTCGGTCCATGTCGCGATTTCAGCTCTGAAAAAGCGAAACTGACCGTATTTTCAAAGAAAAATAGCTTTAAAAAAGCAGGACATTAAGGATTTAAGGCGGAACTTTGTTCAAAAAACGAGACAGTTCCGCTTTTTTTGAATAAAGTCCCGCCTAAAATCCTAAATGCTCCGATTTTTTGGACCTTTTTTTTTTGAAAAATGCTTGAAAATTTAGACTGTCTCGCTATTTTAGAGCTGAAATCGGGACATGTCCTGCTTTTTGACCATAAATGAACAACAACCGATGGACATCCTAACTATAAAAAAACATCTGATTGATAAGATTTTGTGTAGCTTGCAATTATTCTTGTTTTGCATTAGTTACGATGCTTTGCAGGACTTTGAACTGATTTCTAAGCTTATTAAGTTCAAGTACTCATGAATTATCATAACTAAGGAGGGATGAGCTTCCAGTTGCTTCATAAATAAACCTTAAAATCCAAAACGTACGTTCAGTGTAGCCAGGAAACTCAGTAAAGATGAAGTAAGTCTGCAATCTCATTTTAATGATTTTTGATCACTTCCACGCTCTTGACTGCAACCTTTTAACCTTTTAATCTCTTTCAGACTCCAATCAGCCTTTATCGTCCTCGCCAGCATCATCAGCTCATCCCTAGCATTCACCATCGACTGTAACTTCCGTTTGGACCATTATTCATGGCTTGATGGTGAATTCTACACATGCCGTCGTGACAACTTAACAGCAGCAACAAGACGTGATGATCGCTATGTCGATGACATGATTGGAACTCACATGTCAGGCCATAGTAACGAAGATGTTCGCGGTGTACACATTAAAGGTGATCTTGTTCATTATTTCCCATGGAAAATGGACCTTCATCTTCCACATTTGTCATTTATTGCTATCGAGTACACAAATATGCTTGAAATTCGTGGAACTGACTTGACGCCATTCCCAGATTTGGAATATTTGTATCTCGGCTACAACTCAATTGAAGTCATTGAAAAGGATTTGCTGAAGTCGAATCCAAGATTGAAAGGAATTTCACTCGAGAACAACCGAATCAGATTTGTCCATGATCATGTCTTCAACAATATCGTTAAAAGACTCAAATTTATGAGTTTTGAGAAAAGTGGATGTGCTGACTTCCGTGAGGACACAGACATGGGTTCAGCTGTTGCTCGAATTGCTGATCAATGTGGAAATTATGATAATATTGCTGGACTTCTTACTGATTTGTACTTTGCACAGAGGCATCGTCTTTATGTTTAAGATGAGGTGAAGGAAAGGCTTAAGTGAGGTTATGTTGATGTTGAAATAAAATGTTTTGATGAAGTAAATCAATATTTTATTCTCACTTTGAGGGAGTTGGAAGGTAGGTGGAGGAGGTTCTTTAACTTAAGATAAGATCAAGAGCCTTTTTTTTTTAAAATAAATTTGATAACAAAAAATTTTCTGAATCAGATTATTGAGCATGTTAGATACAAGTTAGAGGCATTGTGTTCATGATCATCAACTTAATATTCCCAACCATGCAGCACACACTATTCATCGATCTAGCATTTAATACGACTGTCTTGGGACGAATTCCACACTGAAATTCACAGCTGTGCACTTTTGAGCGTCATAGCCCCGGTTTTTGGACAATGTCCCGCTTTTTTTTGAATTTCCACCTTTTTTGAGTTCCCGCCTTTTTCAAGTTCCCGTCTTTTTTGATTTGTTGTCCGTCCATCGCGCTTTTTCAGAACTGCAATAGGGATTTTTGATAAAGAATCGGCAAAAACCGATGGACAGCCTAATCATATGACAACATTGATGATTTAACTACTGTTAATTAAGCTGTGAATTGCCAATTAGTATGCACAACTTTTGAGATTTTCCCGTTCCGATAAGTCAATCGAAAATAATCTTTGTTGTAGTTATTGAATAGGAAGGCTCAGTGTTTCTCAAACTATTCTCCGCGGAGCTTTACTGTTCCGCTAAAGCAAATCCTAAATGTGTTAAAAGTAGTTGCCAGCGTGGTGCGAAATTAAAAAAGCGGACAACCCAAAGAGTTTGAGAAGCACTGGATTAGCTTAACAACACAAATTATGACTGTGATCTAAATCAATTTGAGTGATAAGTGATTGCAATTGATAGATTAATTCTTAATAAAAGCTTAGTGAAAAGTTGAAAAATTGTCATTTAAACTTTAAAGGTTTAAAGCATTAAGTCTAGGCGTCAAAAGCTAGCTTACAGAAGCATTGAAATGAATACTGTAACAAAATTAGCTTTCTTGTTGTGCTGTGTAATGGTCATTAAAGCAAGGAGGACTTATATCATTGTGGATGAGGGTATGTATGACTTTTTGGTGATCTATTGGCTAGTTTCCAAGCTTATCTGGCGTACCTTAACTGTAAATGAGGTTCCGAGAGTAACTGGTGCCTGAGGATAAGATTCAATGTTCAATTGGTACCACATGTGCCTTGGATAACCTCAGAATCCGACATCAGAGTTGGATGATGACTCGGAATCGGTCGAATTTTGTACAAAAGCATAGCGTGATCTTACATTTTACGGTCCACAACGTCACTTCCTTTAAGTTTAACATTTTCAATCATATCCAACAGTACTAAAACCTTGCGAAAATGCTGCCGATAAAAATGACTTATTTGACTACTCGAACATGCAAATCATCCCTGAGAACGACACGCACACATTCTTAAATGGAACCATTAAATTTCTGAAGGAAATGACCGACACTTGGCACTTGCATCTACACACTGAACATTATGAACGTGGAAAGTTTCTGCCTCAAGCTTATGTTCAGGACATTGCTGATTACTGCAAGGAAATCCACAATCCAGTTCAACCTTGGTTTTATGCGACGAAGGATCTTAAAGGATGTCCGGTTCCTAAAGATGTGAGTAAAGAGCTTAAAGCAGTGTTTCTCAAACTTTTTATTTCGCGGACCAACAAATTATCTACTAATTTATCTGCGCCACGCTGGCAACCACTATATACACATCAAGATTTGGATCGTGGAACAGAAAAGCTTCGCGAAGCAGTTTGAGAAACACTGCCTTAAAGCTTAATGAGTCGACTAAGTTGAGCTTGATGGGGACTCAGCAATCATAACTATTAAAATTGAATCATTTTATTTCAGCATGTCTACGAAATAAACATGGTTCCGATTGAGTTCCCTAAAGCAACGATGGCATTGCTTCCAAATCATTACGAAGGACGCTGGCGATTGATCATTGATGGAATATTTAACTCTGGAGGAGTCGAGTCATATGAATGTAAAATGGGATTCGGAAATCTTTACATTGAGTAAATTTGAGTTTCTGGAATCCCAGACTGTGCCCAAATTTTAGGTAATATTCAAGAAATTTAATGAAATTCCAAATCTTTATTAACAATAATTTTAAAATGTTGAGCAATAAATTCAATTCAAAATTTGCAAACAATGTTTTTACGAAAATCATTGAGGATTAAAGAAGATTTGTGGATGATTTTAAGATAAGAGGAAGATTGAGTGAGAACCAGATTGAAGTTTAAGACGTTAAGGAAGTGTTAAATGAAAAGGGGTAGGAATAAGGGAGTAGGAAAATGGGGGAAGAAATAAGGGAATAGGAAAATGGGGGAAGGAAAAGGAAGAAGGGAAAGTGAAGATGATTAATAATAGACACAAGGGGGAGGAAAAAGAGTAAGGGGTAGAAAATTAAAAAGGGTGGGAAATGAAAAAGAAAAATATCTAACCTAATTTGATTTGAAATGCATTTCATAGTTAAGCCTATATTAAGCAGCAATCAATACAAATCGAACTAAAATAATAAAATTTATTTTACATTGTATTTAAAAAAATAATCAAAATTAATCCCAGCCCCACCCTTCTTAGTGACTATGACCCACTTAAGCATCCAAGTATCCTAGAAACCTCTGAAACTTAATCAACTAATGCCTTAGTTCCTCTCAATAGTACTCCATCCTCTCCATAACCATCGAAATCCTCTCCATCAGCTCATTTCCTTTCTCATAAATCTCATTTGCAGCGTCAATAATCAAATTAATTTTTTTATTTTCAAAAATTTTGACGTCATCAAAAATGCATTTAAAAATAATTTCCGAGTCAACATCAACGAGTGTGGCGAGTTCCTTTATTGCTGACTTCATTGTGTCGCTCATGTTTTTTGAGAGTTTCTTGATCAGCAGCTGTTTCTGTTCCACTTCCATGTCTTGTGACTCAACATCCATCAAGTCTGTAATTTCGTTGTAAAAATTTTGGAGATTTTTGAGAGTTTTTGATGAAATTTTTGACTTTTCAGTAGAAATTATTTCAGGAACGACTGTAAAAAAATTCAAATTTTAAAAATCCGTTGAAAAATAAATTCAAAATTTTGTACCTGTTTTGCCTCTAAAAGAGTCCCTGAGCACACAACAGCATCCTTTCGATGTCAATTTGCGTTTCAATCCAGTCGGACAAAATGGAATTTGTGGACATGTCAAGTCATTATTTGCAGGCAGACATTTTGCATCAACAGGTCCACATTTAAGGTAATGCCTGGCACGAGTCGAAGTAATTGTAAGCAGCAGTAAAATAATAATTAGCTTCATTCTGAATGTTTTCCGTCGTCACACTGAGCGTTACTGGATATTGAGGTGCTTTTTTGTGATGTTGTGTTGTTGTGAGAATATAAAACAGCCATGCTGTGTTGACTCAGGTGAGATTGTAAATATTTGAGGATTCAGTACCTCATAAATGGGTTGGCAGTGATGATGTGTGCTCGTTTTGCTGGGTTACTTAATAATGTGTCAATTTCTTGTTTCTTAAATCTAATTCTGGATCACAGAAGGAGCTAAGAAGCTTTGACTAGTTTTCAGCATCACAGTTCATAAATTTTGGAATAAAGCGGAGTTTTGAATTTTTTAACGGTTTCTTATTATTTGAATTTTGAGTCAGCATTAAATGAGCTTTTCGAAAATTCAAATTCAATCTTCAAAAAAATCTTGACTGAAACTGAAACTGAAACTTAATCTGAAATAAAATGAAAACCGAAATGTTAAAAAAATATTTCATTTTCTTGATTTTTTATAATTTTTTATTTGATGAATAATTTTTATGTCAAAAGTTTTTGTACAAAAATATGTTCAGTAAAAAGAGTTTTTTTTATGATAAATTTACAAATAATTAAATTAGATTTTTTCTTATATTTCCAATAATTATGTTGAAAATTGCTATTTTTGATTTATTTAAATTGTGAATTAGTTTGATTTTTGAAGTAATTCACATATTTTTTCAAACATTTTGATACTCAAGAAATTTTTCAAAATTAATTTTTTCAAAAATTTTAAAAATTCAATTTATTTTAAAATTTTAAAAGAAATTGATTTTTTTAAGATTTTTTAAAGAAAAATATTTTTTTTATCTTTTTGAAATTATTTTAATTTTAAAATTATTTTTAAAATTTGTTTCTCTTGAAAGTTTGAAAAAAATAAGTATCTTAAACTTCGTACAAAAATGTTTTTAATTTAAAAAAATTTCTTGAGTCTCATCAATTTTAAATCAATTTGATATATTTTAACTACTAATTTGAAAAGTATTTTATTACCTTATTCTTAAAATCTATTTTTGATACAAATTTATGATACAAAAATATTTTAAATTTTATTGTTTTAAATATTTTTGCATCACAAATTAAGCTCAAAAAGCAAAAACTCATTTAAAAATTGTAAAAAGTTCTACAATGATTTTGTAAACTTTTTTAAAATTTTTCGACAAGTTTTTGATTTTAGCAAACTTTTAAAAAATTATTAAGAATTTCTTAAGATTGAAAATCAAAATTTTATGCACCATAAAATAAAGTTTACAAAATTAATCCTTAAATAAAATTATAATTTTTAAATTTAATACAAAAAATTTATATTTACACTTAACCTAAAAAATTGAATTTTCGTTTTTAATTCGTTATTATTTTTTTAATTAATTTTTCTACAATTGATTTTAAAAAACAATTTAAATTTCAATCGTATTCTTTGGAATATTGAAGGATTCAATCCATGATAATTAATTAATTTTTATCACGACGACTTCAATTTTTTTTATTAATTTTTTAAAACTTCATTCAAGCAGACCGTCGAACTAAATTTAGTACATTTCTGGATATAAGAAATTATTCTGTACAAATTTAATATTTTTTTCATATTCATTTCTAACACAAAAGATTATAGTAAAATCCCTTAATGGTTAAATGGCAATATGAAGTTATAATTAATATATTTCTTTTTTCTTTGAATTTTAAAAATTATTGGAAGATGAAAATAATTTTCACAATTTTAAAAAAATTCTATAAAATGCCCTATGGTGCAAAATAATCTTTTGAATAAACAAAAACATTTAATTTTTATGGCTTATGAATTTTAAAAAATAATTTTTTTCTAGTTTGTTTTTGTGCTTAGATTTTCTGAGGGTTAAGAATTTTTTTTAATTTTTAGAGGTTATGTCTTTGATTTTAGGTTACTTTAACTCAATAGGATCTAACTCAGCTCAACCCGAGAGGATCAAACTAGGCTCGACCCGAGAGTATCTAACTTAGCTTGACCCAAGAGGATCTTACTCAGCTCAACCCGAGAGGATCTAACTTAGCTTGACCCAAGAGGATCTTACTCAGCTCGACCCGAGAGGATCAAACTAGGCTCGACCCAAGAGGATCTTACTCAGCTCGACCCGAGAGGATCAAACCAGGCTCGACCCGAGAGGATCTTACTCAGCTCATCCCGTAAGGATCTAATTTACTCGACCCGAGAGGATATAACTTAGCTCGACCGAAGAGGATCTTACTTAGCTCGACCCAAGAGGATCTAACTTAGCTTGACCCAAGAGGATCCTACTCAGCTCGACCCGAGAGGATCAAATTTAACTCCATGAGAGTTAAAGTCAGAGATGAGCAATTTAAGTTCAACCCGAGATGACCAAACCTTCCTAACCCCAAAAAAAACCAAAAATCCCCCCTGCAATCAATTCATTTCAACTAAATCAACCATATTAATTAAAAATTTGTGAGATCAAGGAAATCTTTTTCATAAAAAAACTAAAACTGGCAACCAATGAGGGTCCACAGACTTGTACTACAAGTCCACATCCCCATATAAGAATTTTTACACCATAGTAACATTACGAATTTTTTTAGGATCACCATTACTCATCATTGCACTGCTAACGACCGATTGCATCGATCCTTGTCCAGGCACGCCACGTACAAGTGGTCGATAAACGCTCGTATACGTTGGTGGTGGTTGACGAATTTGATCAACATATCCATAAGTACCACCATTATTTACATTATAAGGATGTGGTGGAATTGGCGGCACCATCTCGCCGTTGGCATCAACATACATAATTGAACCTTCATGATCTAATGGCGATTGACGGACTTCATGTTCTGCTAAGAGTGTTGATGCTGACCAGGATTCATAAGGTGATAAATATTGTCCATTTCTAGTTAAAGTTGATGATAAGATTTGCTGTTGATCACCATAGGCATCAAGTAAGGCTTGTTGTTGGAATCTCTGCTGTTGCTTCATCTCCTCAATCAACATTTTATCATGATCACTAAAGTCAGGCTTCATCATGTCATCATCCATCATTGGAAGTCCAATTGTGTGGTGGTCTGGAACATCAACCAAGTAGCTGTGATGTGAATTGCCATTAGTGACTGGATCCATATGATATTGGTTCTGTTGGACTGGTTGTGGTTGATATGATGGAGTTGTTGGTGTAATTACTGAGATTGATGGCTTCGACGGTGATTTTGTTGGCTTTTTGGCATCTGAGTAGGTTCTCTTGCGGAAGACACAGCACCAGCAGTAGATTGTGATGATTATGAAGACAATGATGCAGCAGATGATGACTGGAACTAGAATTTGCCATGGAATTCCAGCTAATTTAGCATTTCTGAATATTCCAACAGTTTCATCATCATCAACTGGTTCCATTGATGGATCTGACTCGTACATGTCATTGTCAATGTGTGTATAGCTTGGTGATGCAGTTGGACGACGTTTTGGGACGAAAACTCGAACTACATTTGAGATTGGACCTGTTGAGACTTCTTCGTTGATTGTTCTGATTGCAACATAGAATGGAACTCCAATAAGGCCATGTTCATTGGCTAGATTCAATGTCACTGATGCTCCTTGTCCAATTGAGTGTGGAATCGTCTCGCCCAGATGCAAAACTGTTCCAATGACATCAAAATTATCGACAATATCCTTTAAATTAAATGTATATCGAATCTCATATGAAATTTGTGAGATTTCAGATCCAGTATCAGGTCCAGTCCACTCCAATGTGACTTTTTCACTTCCATTTGTTGTCTGTGGAACCACATGAAGATCTCCAATGCGTCCAATGAATGGAATCTTTGACTTTTCATTCTCAATTTCTTCTGCGCTGATAAAAAGTGTGATTGGAGTGATGTAACGTGTGAATGGTGTGACTGGTTGTTTAGATTGAGTTGTTATGGCACTTCCACAGCAGTGAATTTGTTTTGATGGATCTGGAATTGAAAATTGTTGATTAGAAATTGGTTTTAATAGATTGACGCTCAGCTCTAGTTTTCAAATTTTGGCGCTCAGCCGACTAGAGTTCAGAACTTGACCCTCAGCTGACTAGATTTCAAAATTTGAGGTTCAGCCGACTAGAGTTCAAAATTTGACGCTCAGCTCTAGTTTTCAAAATTTGACGCTCAGCCGACTATAGTTCATAATTTGACGTTCAGCCGACTAGAGTTCATAGTTTGAAGCTCAGCTATAGTTTTCAAAATTTGACGCTCAGCCGACTAAAGTTCAGAACTTGACGCTCAGCTCTAGTTTTCCAAATTTGATGCTCAGCCGACTAGAGTTCAAAATTTGACGCTCAGCTGACTAGAGTTCGAAATTTGACGCTCAGTTTTAGTTTTCAAATTTTGACGCTAAGCCGAATAGAGTTCACACTCTGCTTTAAAAAAAATTCAAAATATTCAACTTACCACGATCAATCTGACTGTAAGCTGTATTTCCATTGTCAGTAATCTTAATGCTAAATCTATACATTCCAGGTTCATCAACTGTATAATATCTTGAGTAGACTCCATCGCCCTTAGTGACATCAGGATCGCTATTTCCACTATCAAACAATTGAATTCTTTCATCACGTCCACTTGGCTGTCTTACAACAACTTCAACTAAGGCATCGAGAATTGGTAAGCTTCCTTGCATGACTTCAGCATAAATGATATTTGGTGCACCAGTTGATGGTCTTTTAATCCATGCGCGAGCAGTGATGAAATTGTTTGTGTCAATTTTTGGATATGCAAGGACTTGAACGAAGTGTGGCTGTTGATTGCCATAGAATCTCTTGATATTGTAATGCCATGATCCAATGCCGCTGAGATTTCCAACAAGTGTCAATTGATGATAATCAGATCTAAGCTCCGAAATTCTTGAGAATGAGACTTGATTTGGGGATGTGAGGCTGATATCTTCAATAACTGATCCGAGTTCCTTACGGTCATAATTGTAGACAAAGAAATTGATATTCTTAGTCGTGTCATCAACATTAAAGCTGTCTGTATAAGTTCGTGACTTTGTGGAATCGCCGGATGTGTTGGAATCGATCAGTTCCTTTCGGTAAATCTCAATTGGAAGTTCTGAGGCATCGCCATGATGGAATTTAGCACTGATGTACATGAAAACATTTGTAAGCTCAAAGAATGTTGCAAGTGAACTTTTGTCTTCATTCTTCTTCTTTTCGAGGACTGTGAAAGCTTCGCCTTCAGTCTTAATAGCAAGTTCGTCCATTGGAACTCGATTGATTCCAATAATTGGGTAGTTTACAGTCACAATTTTAATATTTGCTGATTTACATTTTTCAATAATTTCAGTCATGATTTCCTCACTACAATTATACATTCCAGGTCCAATAAGGATGATGGAACTAATAGCATCTCCATGAACATTCGATCGTTCCTGCATAATATTGACACTCTTCATAATTGCCGGATACACATTGCACTTTCCATATCCACCACGATTAGTGACACTAAATGGCAAATTTGACATAATTTCCTCACGATCATCACTTCCTGAAATTGACTTGATTGGATCACTTGCATTGTTCGAGTTCAACTTGATGATGCCAACTTCCGTTCCATGATGAATCAGATCCTTATCCAACCACTTCCTGATTGAATCACGTAAAAATCCAAAAGAATCACGAATGGAAATGTCAGCATGATCATCAAGCAGCAACATATAGCGCGTGCTCATCTTTCGGACATAATTAAAAGTCGGTGCAGTAAAATTTTGATTCCGTTGCGTTCCGTTGAAGTCAACATTCCGTAAAATCACATCCATTGGACTCATCCGGTCGCAAAGTTGATTCTGCTTCGTTGGCATGTATTTATTATACGAATGACTATCGAGTGCTAAAGCATCAGTGCACATTGGATTGCCGCTTGCGCTACATTTTGGATAGATTGCATCGCCATCAAAGCCATTCTTGTCAAAGACACCGTAACGATATTTCATAAATTCATTGGCAAACTTCTTCTCAATGTTCTGGAAATCGTCACGAATTGAGCGCTCGCTGACGTAAATTTGATCGCCATGCTCACCGCATCCACCTGACTGTTGTGTCCACAAGTAATCGCCAAAGATTGGATTGGATTTTGTGATTTGAACATCCGTTGATGCGCCATTGTAGCTTGTTACGGTTGAGGAGTTGGTGAGGCAATTGTATGACCATGTTGAGGGGATGATGATCTCAAAGGATGAGAAGTAGATGCGACCGTCGAGGGATTGATGAAGGTGCTGTGATGAGGCTGATAAGGTGTTCTGGAAGGATTAAAAAAAATATTATTAAAATTTTGATAATTTTGAATTGTGGACTAGTAAGTTGAATACAATCATGGAACTGAATCATAACCTCAAAATTAAGAATTTTAATTCAATTTAAAATCAATTTTTAATTCCCATTCTTTTCACAAATTTTTTATTCAATTTCCAATTCAACGCATCTTTTGCTTCATTTTTTTCAATTTCTTTCATATTCCTAATCGTCCGCTTCCTGTCTTTATTTCCATTAAATCATCATTTAACCCAATTTTTATTCCCTTTTTTCTCTCCTTCTTCTTTTTTTTGTTCGAATCATTGGTGCATTTAATTCACCGATATATCAATTTTTAGTTTTTATGTACTTACATGCGTATTGTAAGTGTAATTTATAACATTAATACATATTATAAGGGCTATAATGTGAGTATGGAGATTGAGAGTAGAGATAGAAAGTTTGTAATGTGGAGAGGTCGATGTTGATGGTGTGGACTAGGATGGGATACTTAGTAACAAAACCTTAAAATTGAGGATCTTAACCTCAAAATTCAGAACCTAACCTCCAAATTCAGCAACTTAATCTCCAAATTGTGGACTCTAACCTCAAAATCTGGATCTTTAGCTTAAAATTCAGGAACATAACCTCAAAATTATAAATTGTTACCTCAAAATTTCTCGATGCTAACCGTAAAATTCTGGATCTTAACCTAAAAACTCTGAAATTGTGGATCCCAGCCTAAAAACATGGATCTTAACCTTAATATTCTGCAAAATAACCTCAAAATTCAACAACTTAACTTCACAATTCAGCAAAATAACCTCAAAATTCAGCAAAATAACCTCAAAATTCAGTAACTTAACCTCAAAATTCCACAATTTATTCAAAAATCTTAGCGTCCTAACCTCAAAATTCTTAGCATGTCTACACGATTAATTCCACCATAAGTCTTTCATCTCATCTCTTTCTTTTAATTTCTCGTACATTACGTCTACAAATTTCATCTTACTCCACACAGATTCTCAGCGTGATCATGTTCGAATAACAACAACAATAACCAAAAAAAATTCTTTTTTAGAAACACAAAATTGTTGTTAATGTTTTCGTTTTTCTCCCCCAAAAAAAGTGAATAATTTGCTTCAATTTCAAAATGATTTGTCTGTTATGTAATTTGTTGTTTTCTAATTTTTTTGTAGGTAATGTACGCATCGATGGATGTATCGAGTAGCTGCTCATAATTGATATAATTGACTGAAAATAACCTGCAGTAGTTGAGTTATTAGCTTGTGGATGGATGTTCTTTGGGTAGAATTGTTTGAAGAGGTTGTAAGGTTTTGAATTTTAAGGTTAGAATTTTTTAAAATTTTGAGGTTTGACTTCTTCAATTTTCAGGTTAAAATCCAATATTTTTAGGGTATGGTAAAGAAATTCTAGGTTAAGTTGCAGAAATTGAGGTTAAAATTCAAAATTTTGAGGTTAGAATCCAGCAATTTGAGGTTTAGGTAAAAACTTTAAGGTTATGTTTTAAAAATTGAGGTTAAATTTCAAAATTTTGAGGTTAAAGTCCAATATTTTTTTAAGTTATGTGAAAGAAATTCTAGGTTAGGTTTCAAAAGAGAGGTTAGAATTAAAAATTGTGAGGTTAAAAACTAACAGTTTGAGTTTATTTTAAGGGACTAAACTTAAAATCCCCATTATTCGAGGTTATATTGTTCAACATTGAGGTTATGTTGCATCAATCTAATTCAAAACTTCACAATTTTTAGGTTATGTTCACAAATTTTCACTCCCACATTTGCAGTTTGATGTTAAAATCCCAATACTGAGATTAAATCATAAACTTTCAGCAGCCAAATAAATCTCTCGAAGCCCCCACAACTGCATAAATCTCCAACCTTTTATAATAGCAATTAGAACTCAAAAACCAGCAGCAAGTGAGTAGCATAAATCAAAAAATGATAAAGCACATAGACTCCATATGCCCATTTAATGTGTGCAGTGCGCAGAATTTTATACAACAAAAAAAAGTAAATAAAAATTGAGTGCAGTTTAGTGGAAACGATAGGGAACGAACCAGTGTAACAATAGCAACAACAAACATGCAGAACAACATAGTAAATAACAGTCAGTTAAATTCAGTCACAGGTGTTTCGGACACCGCCGGAATATAAATAGGAAAGAATAAAAAAACCGGGAATTGATGCGTATGTGCAGTGCCGAACGGCAAAGCCGGAACTACGCTCGTTTACCTTGTCCCTTTTATATTATTTTTTTGTAACATTTTATAAATTGAAAATTTTTGATATTAAATAACGAAAAAAAAAATTAAGTCTGCATTTTTAATTAAAAATTTTTTACTTGTGGGCATTTAAAAATTAAATAAGAGAAGTTTTTCTAGCTTTTGTGGTTTTTGATGAGTCGCTTTTGATGTTGATATTAGCTGTAAAATTTTTTATATAAATTTGTGGTTTGATGGTTTAAAGGAATTGGTGATAATTTTACAGTAATTTTTAGAATTTTTTTTTGTGACGCAAGAATGAGTGCTAATTTAGTATTTTGTAAAATTTTATTAATTCTAGTTACTAGTTTGATGCTTCAAGAAATCTAGTATTTCAAATAATCTAATACTTCAAGCATTCTAGTCGTTCATGTTAACTTGAAACTCAAGTAATCTAGAACTTTAAATAATTACTAGTACTACAAAGAATCTAGTACTGCAAGTTATCTTGTCCTTCAGTGAATCTAGTACTTCAATTAATCTAGCACTTCAAGTAATCTAGTACTGCAAGTAAACTTGTACTACAAGTAATCTAGTATTTCAAGTAATCTAATACTTCAAGCATTCTAGTCGTTCATGTTAACTTGAAACTCAAGTAATCTAGAACTTTAAATAATTACTAGTACTACAAAGAATCTAGTACTGCAAGTTATCTTGTCCTTCAGTGAATCTAGTACTTCAATTAATCTAGCACTTCAAGTAATCTAGTACTGCAAGTAAACTTGTACTTCAAGTAATCTGGTTCTTCAAGTAGTCTGGTACTTCAAGTAATCTAGTACTTCAAGTTGTCTAGTACTTTAAGAAATCTAGTACTTCAAGTAATCTAGTACTGCAAGTAAACTTATACTTCAAGTAACCTGGTTCGTAAAGTAATCTGGTACTTCAAGTAATCTAGTACTTCATGTAATCTAATACTTCAAATATTCTATTGAAACTCAAGTAATCTAGAACTTTAAATAATAACTAGTACTACAAGGAATCAAGTACCTTAAGTAATCTTGTCCTGCAATGAATCTACAACTACAAGTAATCTAGTACTTCAAGTAATCTAGTACTTCAAGTAATCTAGTACTTCAAGTAATCTAGTGCCTCAAGCAATCTAGTAATTTAGTGCTTTAAGTAATCTAGTAGTTCATGTAATCTAGCACAAAACGAATTTATTTCAATATTCTAGTACTTCAACTCATTTCAAATCAATCATACATTCCCATGCATCACCACCAATACACCCAAAACTTCACTTCCTCATTCCTAATACGTCTCCATACTTCCCCAAAATAAATCGTGCACATTCATCACTCAAAAAAAAAGTTTTACTTTCAAATATTCAATTTTTGCATCACACTTCATCGCTCATCAGCGAATTCCAGCATGTTCATAATTTTTTTTCACATAACAATAACTTGCTAATTTTGGCAGTTGATGAAAGTAAAATTTTTGATTTCGTGTGTTTTTTTCTTCTTGGCTTTCGATGAGTTTATTGGATTTGAATTTAAAAGCCGGAAGATCTTTGACGTTGAGCTATTGATGGAGTTTGATGAGATCTTTTTGGATTTTTTTGCATAATTTAGTGAAATAAGTGTCGATTAACCATAGTTTTGGATATAAAAAGGCTTTTTCAAGTATTTGGGGTTCAAAAGACCCCCTTTAGTGCAAATCCGCGTCTAAAATGCCACCAAACCCATCAATAATCCCAAAGCATCATCCAACTCATCATCCAGCCTAGCAACCATCTGCATAAAGCACACACAAGCATCAATTCCCTGAATATTTACAATCATATTGTTGACTCATCATAAATTCAATTCAATTGTTGATTCACACTCGTATGGCACATGTGAGAATGAGAATTTGATCAACAATAATAATAATGGTGACGATGTGTTATGCAAATTATTCAAGATATTTTTTTTCGCACTGTTTATTTATTGACTTAAATTGTGAAAATAAATTTTCATCGGAATTTGTCTTTGTTGCTGCGAAGATTTAAAAGACTTTTTATTTTCTCGTGAAATTTCTCACTCAAGTGTGAGTTGACAAAGCTTAAATATTTCGAATGATTGTGACTGTAAGGGGATTAAAGGAGGTTAAGTAAGATTTTCTTGGAACAATTTGTGAATTTTTTTAAGAGGCTTTGCAGGAAATGAAAGTTGCATTTTGAGTCACGGTTAACTTTATGAGGATTTGAATTGGAATTTCATATGTTTAAGTTAAAATATTTTCGAATAATTTCGTACTTGTTTTAAATGATCCAGTACTTCTCTTGAATAATCTATTACTTCTTTTTAATAATCTAGTACTTTTTTAAAAAGAATCTAGTACTTTTTTGAACTTATATTAATGTAGCACACTTCTTTTAAACAATGAAGTACTTATTTTGAATAATCTAGTCCTTATTTTAAATAATCTAGTACTTTTTTTTAAAAAAAAGAATCTAGTACTTTTTTTGAACTTATATTAATGTAGCACACTTCTTTTGAACAATATAGTACTTATTTTGAATAATCTAGTCATTCTTTTGATTATTCTAGTACTTATTTGAAATTATCAAGTCCTTGTTTTAAATAATCAAGTCCATTTTTTCGACATTCTTGTACTAATTTTGAATATTCTTGTACTTGTTGTGAATAATCTAGTACTTATTTTGAATAATCTAGTACTAATTTTGAATAATCTGGTACTTATTTTGAATAATCTAGTACTTATTTTGAATATTCTAGTACTTAT